CCACAGAACGGAGACTTGGAAATTCACAATGACAAGTGTGTGGACTATGAGAGACCACACAAGCGGGTGCTGAAAGGGCTACAGTTCTGTATATAAGTGCTTCCTGCAGCCTTGAAGGATGGCTAGGTTAACAACATTCAGTGTGGTCCTGGGAATAGATCAGAAAATTAGCATGCTAGATGGGAAAGCATTTTGAACAGAGGCCACACTGCTGCAGAGCCCAGGGCACAAGTTCCTGGACCACACCAGGAGCTGCAGGAGTAGAAAGTGAAGGAGAAAATGCCAAGAGACTAGGCTGGGTAGACAGGCAAGGCCCTCAAAAGCCCAATGAGGGGCTTGGACTTCATCCTGCAGAGGACTGTGGCTCTACTCTGGTCCCCTGGCTGCCTTCCTATAACTGGCACTTTCGCAGCTCAGCTGCCTGGGGAAGCTGAGGGACAACCCCACACTCCTCTCCAGCCCCTCACCCCAAGGTCCTGTGCTTGTCCACAGCTCAGTCCCTAGCTGATTCCTGGGCCCGCTCAAGCCAAAGGTCAAAGAACCTCAGTCACCCCCAATAGCCATTTCTTGCTGCGGTCAGGCCACTGCCAGGGGCCCAGTTAGCCAAAGAGATTCGGGGGAGCCGGTTAACAGTGCAGACTCCTAGCTCCAACAAGCAGCATCCGACTCAGCCAGTCTGGGCAGCCTGGTATGGGAGCCACCATTCAAGAGGAAAGCAAAAGGTCATTAAAAAGACAGGAAAGAAAGAAAAAACCAAAATGGATGTCAGAAGAGACTCTGAAACTTGCTCTTGAATGTCGAGTAGCTAAAGCAAACAGAAGAAATGATAAAGCAAAAAAGATGAACAGAAGATTTCAAAGGGCGGCTAGAGAAGACAAAGTAAAGTACTATAATAACGTGCAAAAACCTGAAGTTAAAAAAACGAACGGGAAGAACACGCTTGGCATTTCTCAAGCTGAAAGAACTGAAGAAAAAATTCAAGCCTCCAGTTTGCAATATTGAAGGATTCTATGGGGGAAATACTAAATGACGCAGAAAGCAGCAAAAGAAGATGGAAGAAATATACAGAGTCACTATACCAAAAAGAATTGGTCAACGTTTAACCATAGCATATGATCAGGAACTGACGGTACTGAAGGAAGAGGTCCAAGCCGCACTGAAGGCACTGGTGAAAAACAAGCCTCCAAGAATCGACAAAATACCAATTGAGATGTTTCAACAACATCTGGAAGCGCTCACTCATCTACGCCAAGCAATTTGGAAGACAACTACCTAGCCAACCAACTGGAAGAGATCCATATTTATTCTGAAGAAAGGTGATCCAACCGAATGTGGAAATTATCAAACATCATCATCAACATCACACACAAGAAAAGTTTGCTAAGATCATTCAAAAGCAGCTGCAGGAGTACATCAACAGGGAACTGTGAGAAATTCAAGCCAGATTCAGAAGAGGACATGGAACCAGGGATATCACTGCTGATGTCAGATGGATCTTGGCTGGTAGCAGAGAATACCAGAAAGATGTTTACCTGTGTTTTATTGACTATGCAAAGGCATTCAACTGTGTGGATCATAACAAGTTATGGATAATATTGCAAAGAACAGGAAATCAGAACACTTAACTGTGCTCCTGAAGAACCTGTACATAGATCAAGAGGCAGTCGTTTAAACAAGACAAGGTGATACTGCACGATTTAAAATCAGGAGATCTGTGTGTCAGGGTTATATCCTTTCACCATACCTATTCAGTCTGTATGCTGAGCAAATAATCCAAAAACCTGAACTATATGAAGAACAACGGGGCATCAGGATTCGGGGAAGACTCACTAACAACCAGCATTATGCAGATGACACAACCTTGCTAGCATTATGCAGATGACACAACCTTGCTTGCTGAAAGTGAAGAAGACTTGAAGTACTTACTGATGAAGATCAAAGGCCACAGCCTTCAGTACAGATTACACCTCAACATAAACAAAACTTTTCACAACTGGACCAACAAGCAACATCATGATAAATGGAGAAATGATTGAAGTTGTGAAGGATTTCATTTTACTTGGATCCACAATCAACACTGATGGAAGCAGCAGTCAAGAAACCAAAGGATGCAATGCACTGGACAAATATGTTGCAAAAGACCTCTTTAAAGTGTTAAAAACCAAAGCTATCATCTTGAAGACTAAGGTGCAGCTGACCCAAGCCATGGTGTTTTCAATCGCCTTATACACATGCTAAAGTTGGACGATAAATAAGGAAGATCGAAGAAGAATTGACGCCTTTGAATTGTGGTGTTGGCGAAGAATACTGAATATACCGTGGACTGCCAAAAGAATGAACAAATCTGTCTTGGAAGAAGTACAACCAGAGTGCTTCTTAGAAGCAACGATGGTGAGACTACATCCCACATACTTTGGACATGTTATCAGGAAGGATCAGTCCCTGGAGAAGGACGTCATGCTTGGTAAAGTAGAGAGTCAGCAAAAAAGAGGAACACCCTCAACAAGAAGGACTGACACAATAGCTGAAGCATGACAACTGTGAGGAGACACAGGACCAGGCAGTGTTTTGTTCCGTTGTATGTAGGGTCGCTATGAGTTGGAACCAACTTGACAGCACCTAACAACAACATTCAAGAGGAAGGAAGCAGCTGGAGGACCGATCTGATACTCTTTCTGGCTATGGTCACCTCCATTAACACCTCCAGCTAAAATTCGCTGGAGTGAGCTATTTTTAGAGGGTAGGAGGAAACACCTGGGAAGTTACTGCTCTGGGTCTGTAACTCTGGGAGGTCCTTTCCAAGTTCCTGGCCTGGGTGGGTCATCTGTTTGACTGCAGTTGGAGATGTCAGGTACAGCACAAGAAGAAATGACCTGGATGAAGAAATCAGAGTACAGAATGCAGGAATGCTGCACTCCTAGGCTCCATCACTTCCAGGTTCTAGGTTTTGGCCCGTGCTGGGAATCAGAGGAAAAGAAAGTGGGCAAGCAGGTAAAATCCATCCTCTGGTCAATTCTGAGAATACTCATAAGCTAAAGGAGAGAGGCTGCCACTTGCCTGGCTGATTCAAATATCTGGAGCTCCCAATACGTGCCAGAGTTCTGCCTGTACCCCTTGAATTGCCAGGACTGCCCCACAAGTCTGGATTATCTTTACAGTTGATAAAACAGAGACTCAAAGTCTTTGACTTGACAAAGTGTCAGAGCCACATCAAAGAGAACACCACATTATTCTGGAATTCTGGGTCAACTTTAATGTCCAGAAGTCAAAGTTATCAACTGAGTCTAAAAAAGATGGCAGGACAGAAAGCAACGAAGTGTAAGAGACAAAAAAAAAAAACCCACCATGTTGACTGACGTATGTCAAAAGGGACACAGGAGCCAACTGAAAGAGCTCCCAATGGCCAAAGCTAGAACAATTCAAGCAACAAAAATAAAGTTGTATTGATTATAACCGAAAGCATAAAACGTTCATGAGTCCATGCTGATATAACTGATTGAATACATAAATAAATGAGGTAGAAGAGACAAATCTCCCACACAGAAAAACTCCAAATAATTAATATATTCTGCCTTTGAGGAAGTGGAGCTTAACTCCCCCATTCTTTAAATGTTGGCTGTACATAGTGACGTCCTTCCAAAGAACATGGTATGTAAAGGGGGTGGGGGACAGTAACTCTACAGTGGAGAAACTTGACAAACACAATCTCAGACAAGCGATCAAGGTCAGCATCAACAGTGATAAGTAATGTTGACAGTGTGTACCCTTGATATAATGTGATGAGCTTGGCACTTCACTTCTGTAGTCTTCCCAAACCCTGTAACTCCAGTCCAACTGTGAGAAAAACACCAGACAAATCTCAACTGAGGGACATTCTGCAAAATACCTGACCAGTACTCCTCAAAACTGTTAATGCCATCAAAAACAAGGCAAGTCTGAGAATTATCACAGCCAAGAGAAGCCTAGGAGACACGGTAACTAAACGTCATGTGGGATCCTGGATGGGTTCCCAGAACAGAAACCAGGGAAAAACTAAGAAAATCTGAATAAAATATGGATTTTAGTTAATAAGAACGGATTGATATTGGTTCATTAGTTGTGACACATGGACTACACTAATGGAAGATGTTAATAGGGGAAACCGGATGTGGGGTATTTGGGAACTCTGTGTATTGTCTTTGCAATTTTTCTGGAAATCTAAAACTGTTCTAAAAAATAAAGTTTATTTAAATTTTAAAAGAAGAAGATGGCAAGCTATACGACACCCTGATCAAGCCTGGGTCTTGCTTTGCTCGCGGCCTTCTATGAGACCTCAGGCAATATCTACCCTCTCTTGAACCCCATTCAGAAGGAAAGCTTGTCTGGACCCCAAGTTGGCTTGGCTCTGGCCTCTGACAAATTCCCGGCCACTCACTCATGAGGAGAAGGCAAAAAGTGCTCCCAATGGCCAAAGGTTTGGCAATGTTAGTCCATACCTCCCCAACTCCCTCACCAAAGAGGAAGGGCAGCCACAAGCTGTGAGTCTGTTGCACACTGCACCCTAACATCCCACCTTTGTCTCCTCTTCTCACTCCTGCTCTTCCCAGAAGTGAAAACGGAGGCATTTTTAAAGCAGGCTACTAAGGCACAGTCTAAAAATAATCAGTGAAAGCACATGTGACAAATCATAACCAAGGAGGTAGGGGAAAGAAAAGGTGGGGGTGTCTGAAAGAATGTTCCCCAAATCCTATCTCAAGACTATGCCCATAAACACTGGGAGCATGTGCTTTTACTCAGCCCTCAACAGCCACGGAACTTAATTTTCTGCTGAAGAAAAGATGAAACAGCTTTATTCTCACAGAATTCAAATAAAAAAGAGAACTTGCAGCCTTCTTCTCTCCCAGGCTTCACCCTACATGCCATTAATATAGAGGACCCATGAGCTCTAAGGGAACCCAGACCAATATCTGCAGACAGGCCTGCAAGCAAAGCAGAAGGTGCCAGTTGTCAGGAACACTTACTTCCTGAGGATGATGACTGCTCGGCGCTCCTTGATGTCTTGAGGCCGTATGCAGTGAGTGATTTCATCAGCAGCGTATCCACTGAAATTAAACACAGAGCATGTGAGTGTGGAGAATGGACAAGCAACTGAAGTTTCGGGGGGGAAAGGGAATGAGAACATGGCCCAGGTCTTACGGCCACTCTCTGCCCCATCCCCTGTTGCAGTGGGAACAACAGGCAAAATGATTTGAGAGCTTCAAAGATCTACATGGAAGGGAAATACCAAGTTGAGCTCCAGGAAGCTTTCGGCCAGACACCACTCAAGGAAAAACCTGGGATGAGGTGATCTAATGGTCTCATAAGGCAGCAGCCAAAGCAGAAATCTCTACCAACAGACCAAGAATCTTTTTGTGTGTGTGCTTTATTTTTTATTTTAAACAAATATTTATGTAGCACTTACCCTGTGGGCCAGTCTGCAAACATCTCACTGAATCATCACCCTATGACACAGGTATTATCAACGTTTTACAAATGGGGAAACTGAGGCTCCGAGAGGCTGTGGAACTAACCCTCAGCGACCAGCATGAGGCAGAGCTATCATTTGTGTCTGTTTGACCTGAAAACCCAGTCTTTCCCTGTCATCTTGCCTGCCTCACTCTTGTCTCTGTCTGCACCGTGTGATTTGTTCTTTTGCCTTATGGAAATCTTTTACTTAACGGAAATCAATTCTTCTTTTAAGTCCTAACATAAATACCACCCTGAGCAATTTCAGCATATACAGTAGAATCTTAATAAATGTTAGTTTCCACGAAAACTTTCCCAGCTCCCAATTTGGTGTTAATCTCTCTCTTCCGGGTTCATGATTACTTACGGGCATGCCTGTATCCTATACTAGAATATTTGAAAAGCCCCTCTTTTTAAAGGGTTCTCAGAGGGGACACCTTTCTAGTACCTTTGGAGGCAGCTGGAGTTACTGAGGCCAGACCTTGGTGAGAGATAAAGAGCCCCATCTCCTCCTCATTCTCTCCTCTCTTCCCTACCCTTTGGCTCCCAGAGGCAGTCAAGGTAGATGCTAACACCACTGGGTCATCAAAGTAATCTAAAACTGCAATGTTCAAAAAGAAAATTTGTCTATGGAAAAACAAGCTTCCAAAAGCCTTCATCATTTAAGGATATCCTAATTTTTAAAGACAGCCATGTTTAGGATATTTTAAGAATTTCCATAAAAATCAAATACTCATTTTCAACAAGTTACTGGATTTTTAAAACTGTTTACAGACCAACGAATGTGAGTAGATGACTGTCCTCTTCATAGTTAACGTCTTTCCGATTTGAAACTCTGGAAGCAAACTCCTCACTGGGAGCATGGCATCCAAGTGATCCTTCTCTCCCTCCCAAGTTCCTCCACTGAACTGAGGTAGTTCTACATAGCCTGAAACACTCTCAGCAACAGGCCTAGTGGGAGGTGGGCACCGTCTCAGCCTCTGCCACCTGCTAGGGATTCCTGACTGCCCCTGGACCACAAAGCCTTCTCTTCGTGGCTGCTAATCAGCTCCCTTCTCAAGGGCAGCTATACAGACCCATGCTAACTGTCAGAGCACTGCAGGCCTGGGAAGGACTCCTCAAAAAGGCCAGGCTAGTCCAACCATAGGCAAGAGCTGGATGTAAGAGTGAAGGGGAGATAAACAAAGCCACAGCCCTGAGACCATGCTGGGGTAGGGAAAGAACCTTTATTTTGGGGATTTCCCCTCCCGCTGCTCCTAGACCAGAGTTTTCGTGAACACCAGTCCCACAAGAGACTACAGACAAATTCCCACAGTCATATCAATTTGGAAAATATTGACAGGAGAGTTTCAAAAAGCATTAGTATGTTAAAGGATCTGAAAATTAGTACAGCAAAAGAACCTGCTGACTTTGTTTAACTGCACACTGACTGAAGAACCTTCTCTCAAATAACATCTATTAATATCCTTCCGCACACAGTGATCAGGGAGTTGAAAAGATCTGGTTTGAACTCCAGCTTTGTTACCCACTAACTCTGAGACCTTAGTTAATGTGCTATGCCTAAACCTTAGTTTCTTCGTTTATAATAAGGACTGCAATAGGTTCTTACGTGTTTATTATGTTATGCTTCATAATTCAGGTGTTCTTTTGTGGCTACTGAATGGACTAGATGGCAATGGGTTTGGTTTTTGGTTTTGTGGCTACTAAAAGATTACAAGATTTTAACAGGGTACAGTGCCTCCGCCCTTCCTGCAGAATCACAGAGACTATGACTACGTGGTTGGGGCCCCTGGGGAGGGTAGTAGGAGGCCTATCGGCAGGGCTGTTTTGAGAATTAAGTAGGTAAGGCAGGGTGCCTAGCACACTGCTCCCACTTACTAAGCATCTGACATAGGCCACAGGGCTCTGGACCACCCTGGGGTAAGCCTGAGCCTTGGGTTCAGCACCTGCCAACCAGACGTGATCTGGCTTCCCCTGAAGGACCTGCCACCAGCAGAGGCCCCCTGAGCTCTAGGTCTCATCCTGTGCTCTTGTCACTCCATGCTGGGGGAACAGGGGATCCAGGCTGCACACAGTCCCATATATATACATAGGACTTCCCCAACCTCCCAATGGCATTCCAAGGCACATTTTTAAGACCTGAATCCACAGTCCTGGCTATAGGCAACCCTCCCTACTGTTAACAAGTGTTATCAATCTGTTTGACTTGGCTACAGGCACTACAAGGGCCCTGACTTTCCACCTCCAACAAGAAACCACTTCTCTTAACGCAGTTCTGGAGCAAATCCAGACATCTGTCAAAGCTTAACTGCTCCCACTCCCTAAAGGGCTCTAGAACTGAAAACAAGCCATGCCAGGTTCCTGCCACTGAACCCAGGCCTTGGAAGAGCTAGTGCAGCAACAGGACTGCACAGGCCCATGGAAACAACCTTGGCACTGACCTCACCTGGAGGGCTCACCAGCACTGGTCTTCCAGAACTTCCTAACAGCCATGGCAGAGCCTACTGACCCCTCCTCAGAGGACCTAGCTCCTCTGGAGTAGGGAGGTTCAAAGTTCTGACCAAGGGAAGCTCTCCTAGCCTCAGAAAGTGCAGAGGAGAGACCAGAAGAGGGTTATTTACTGCTAGGGAGCCAACTTGCCAAAAAAGAAACTGTTTGAAAGTCCCAGTCTGCCTTGAAACTTAATATGCCCCAGGTCCAGCCCTACCCTTGGCATGAAGCAAAGTCTCAGTGCCTCCCGCTTTTGTTTTCACAGGGAAGCAAAAGGAGAAAACGCCTGGTGCTGGTCAGCCTGTTGGTGCGCTGCCTGGGCCAAGCCCCCTTGGTTCTCCCTGACACCCATGTAGCAGTGACTAGTGTGCACCAAAAGTGACAACACGACCCTGTCACCCACTAGCTCTATACTTTAGCGTGACTCTTGAAGGAGTTGACACATCTATCTCCTCCTCTGGGAAGCTTTTTCTGACTCCCCCAGGCTGGGTTTCCCCCTCACTGCCCTCCCACATTCACCCATACCTCTCTGCTACTACATTTGGCCTTGCAGAAATTGTCTTCCCTAGCAGAAAAAGCTTTCAAAGGCCTTACTCATCTCTGCACACAGTGATGCTATATGAAATGTTTGCTGAGCTAAACTCTTCTACTAATTCAGAGCCTCAGTTTCTACATCTGTAAAACAAAGATAACAGCAAGCCCTTCCTCGGGGGATTAAACTGCACATTAAATGAGGAGTCTGAAAACCTTTATAAGGGGACGGTACATCTCTCTTTCACTAGGGAGACTGATTTGTCAAGGTACATTTCCAAGATGGCCTCCATTTCCCATTTACCCCAGGCCCTACCCAGGCTAGGGTAGACCAGACAGAGGGACTGGCTGAGATCCTGGCATGGTCACAGCCTCCCAGCAGCTGGAGCTGCCTGTCCTGGGCAGCCCCCAGAGCCTGCCTCACCAATGACAGGCCCACAGGACTGAGAACCTCAGGCTCAAGTTATTTACCAGACCTCAGCCCCCAAGAAGACATGTGACCTAACCTTTATGAGAAGTCCTGGGGCTTTCTGAATCCAGAAGGAAGATGGTCTGCACATATCATGGTACAAATACACAGCAGCTGGGCACAGAGAACAGCTCATCTCCTGAGACATTTTCAGCTAAACTTCAAGTATGCAATAGTATTAGAGAGACTTAACCTTCTATGACAACTCTATGGCATCATTAGTCCCATTTTGCAGAAGAGGAAAGGTTAAGTAACTTGCCCAAGGTCAAATAGCTAAAGTGGTCGTGCTGAACTCCATTCAGGTTTGACATCAAACTCTTTGTTTCAGTGTTTAGGCTACACGGTTTTTTGGTGGGGTTTTTTTTTCGAGTGGGGGGTTGTTGTTTTTCTGGTGATAAACTCCAACTGTCCTGGGGGCTTCACTGGCTTCAACAAAGAACAAGCATGTAACCCCACAGCACCCTTCCATGAAAGAGGTCTGCAAAGATGAGCTCACGCCCCTACGTAGCTAACACCATAACTCAGCGATGGTTACATAGCAACTGCCCAGCCTAAAATGGCCATCCAGACCTGGTATTTTCCTGGCCTACTTATCCACTGTTTGCTCAGAGCTCTGTGATGAAGACCACAGTTCGCCTGCCAGCTTCCTTCCCTTTGACACCCTCTGCCTTGTCAGGCCTGGCAGCACCCAGGGTGGCCAGAGCCCCTAACCCCAGCATACACAGCCCTGGCTTCACTCTGTGGCTCCTCCCACTCAGAGAATCAGAAGATTCCTCACAGGGGATGTGGCCCAGGACCCATCTGCCCTACTGCCCCAACTATTTGAAGCAGAAAGACAAATTTTGCTTTTAAGCTGCTGCACAAACTCAGCCTTTAGCCCAGAACTGACAGGGGTGCCCATTATACCCAATACCAACTCTTAACTGTAAGAGTCGCAGGCTGAGCTCACACTGCATGCCCACGGCCAGCGATACACAAACAGATCGAGTCATTTCCACATGGACAGCCAAGGCCTCGGTCTCTGGGAATATGGCCACCACAACCACAGACCAGGCAGCAGTGGTTAAGAGCAGCAGCAAGTAAGCAATTAGCCTGGAAATAATTATTCCAATTAATCCAACAGGAGTCTGTTTTAATCTGCCCCATTTCCACTACAGGGAATAGAGGGAATGTGGGATGAGTTGACATAAAAACAAAGTAAAAGACATTTACTTTCCTGGAGAACAAGCATTAGGAGGGGACCCACCCAGGCCCAACATAGGAAGGTTACCAAAAAACCACTGCCAACTGGGTTTGGAAAGGAGTTTGAAGCACTCTGAGGAGCATCCATGAGACCTTGCTCTAAATGCTCAGGCTTGGACACTGCCAAGTCAATGTCTGCCACACACCGACATACCCGCTGACAACTACTGAATATAAAACTGTATTCCTGCCATGTTGCCTTGGACAAGAACAGACATCACTGCCACCAACACCAAGTGAAGCCCAAGTCAGATGAGAATTATTAGAATCCCTCCCCATCCACAGAGCACCATTATTTTAATCAGCCCCTTCCTTCCAATCTGGGAGTTTATAGCTCAACAGCTCTGAGCTGGAATACGTACCAGGAAGTGAGAAAGCATCGTCTCTCCTACCAGTTTGGGGAAGAGCCCAAGCAGGATTTGAAGAGAGGCACTGCTAACCGGCAAGTGTTCACCCACCTGCACACAAAAGCTCGAAGTGCTAAGTGAGCAGGTTCAAGGAAATGTAAATTAGAGGGATGGGTTCCAGAACCCCAGAGCAGTGTTTTCAACAGGATGATTTTGTGTTCCCCCTTCCCCCTGGACAGTTGGTAATGTCTAGAAACACTTCCGGTCATTACAGAAGGCGCTACTGGCTTCTAATAGGCCACGGATGCTACTAAATACCCTATAATGCACAGGACAGCCCGACACAACAAAGAATTATCCAGGCCAAAATGTCAACAAGTGCCACTGTTGAGAAGCCCTCCCTTAAACCTGTATCAGAGTATCCCCCATGGGGGGGGGGGTCTCTGCTTCAGGTTGGATCTAAGGACTAATAATGAACTCCATCTGCCTCAAGTCAGCACTCCCCCTTAACTGCCTTTGCCTGTTTGTTCCCTATGGCTGGAACACCCCCACCATGCTACTGCCATTGTTGCACCCCTCCCTGCTTTGCTTGGTTAACTCCCAGTCATCCTTCAAGTTCTAACTTAACTTCCTCCCAAAAACTTCCAACACTCCAGAGCGGGTAAGATGTCCCCCTCAATGTGCTCCTGTTACTGTCCTGGGCTCTAACTATTCATTGTCTGTGGTCTCAGCTGGGCTGTGAACTCCAAGAAGAGCCTATGATTCATGCTCCACCAAATCCCTAGCCCCTCCCTAACAAGAGAACAGGGCTGTTATGAAAACAAGCACCTATTTAAGTGCTTACCCTGTACCAGGCTCTACAGCAGACACCAAACCACCACATTTAATTCTAACAGGCTTCGGAAGTTGGTATAACCCCCACTTGACAGACGTGAAAACCAGCTCTGAGAACACCCACAAGTTCCCAAAGCAAACAAGACATGAATTCAAAGCCCAGGGTAGCACTTTTCAGGACGTCACTGAGCCTCCCACGCTAACTCCATGGCCAAGTCAGAATCCAGGGGGGCAGGGTTGGAAAGGATTGGGAAGCTCTAGCACTTTACTATTCTCAGAAAAAGATGAAGAGAATTTTCCTGATGATGCAATCCTACTGCTGATCACTAACAGACCTACATTTTAAGAACGTGAAATTTCTGCTCTTCAACACGGTGGGCTGTGTGTGAGCCGGAGGCCACAATCTCAAACTCACAAACTGCCTTTTCTGATCTTCCCGTTATACACCTGACCACTGCTCCACCTCCTGAAAACAATACTGAGAGCCTCTGACTACATGGAAAATTAACACCTAACTAAGAGATTAAATGGTCCTTGTATGAGGTCCTTTCAGCACTAGGAGTCCTTCAGTGGGGTCAGACACCAACCTGCTATACACAGCAAGCCTCTTGGGAGGGTCTGCCCTAGAAATCCCATCTTAAAGGGCTCTGCCCAGACATCATTCTGGAAACACCATGTAAATCCGAGATGCTCTGCAGCCCAAATGACAAAGGGGCTCTCTGGGTTTCTGAGGTGGGCACCTGCCATGTTTCAGAGGCATAAGGAAGCCAAAGTACTGCTTCTGTTGCCACCAACATCCCCGACTTTCCCATCAGGAGATGACAGACATCACAAGGCTCTGCCGCCATGTCCAGACAAGGAAGGAGCCTGTTGTCCAACTCAAATGAAACAGAGGACCTGCTCCATAATATGAAGAGGGCTCCAGGGACCCACCCCTCCCTACCCTGACTGTGGCCTGCCTTGACTGCACTTCAGAGATTAAGCTGCTCAAAACAAAACCCCAGCGTGTACTGACTCTGTGCTTTAATTCAGTGGTCAACAAACCTGCTCTGGACAGCTGCAGTCTAGATCTCCTAAGAGGTTTTGGGGATTACTGAAGTACCTTCCTAGGTTTACCTGTTTCAGGGCTGGAAGGAGGCAGGATCCAAATAAATTTTCTGCTTCATCTAAACAAGCAAAGGTGTCTCAGCAGGCATTCTTCTCTGGAGACCGGCGTACTGAGCTAATTCTCAGCAAGATCTGGGACCCAAAATAGGCCAAGAACCTAACTTCTGCTACCGACATAACTACAAGACTAAATATCAGGTCAAGAAACAAACTTTATTTTGTTTTATTCAGTCCTGAAAACAGGTAACACATTCTTAAAAAGACCAATGGGCTCTTCTGCAGCCAAGGTGGGAGAATTTTAAGAATGCACTGAACTCTATTCCTGGCCCAACCACTAATCTGTGCAACTCCAGGGACCTCACACACCCCCGCCCCCACCTTGGGAACGGAGGCTGTGCATCAATTAAGTACTTTCAGGAGCCGCCTTCCGTATTTTTTCTGTTAAGGAATCCATGAACATTTCCTCTGTTAGTAAAACCAACAAACAGTATAGTAGGAAAGACTTTCAGTTAGTTAAGTTCAACTCAATTTTTTTTTCAAAAACACAGATTTAGAAACGGAGACCAGAATAGATAAATTACTTGCTTAAACTAACACAGGGAAGCAGACGCCTAAAATCTTAGCTTCCTGATACACAGCTCCGCGCCTTCTGGAAAGATGCCTTTAGATTAGTTCTCAAATTTATGATTGCGTCAAACCTGCCTCGGGGATACAGAAATCTAGATCAGCTCCTTGACCTATACTGTCTTGCTATCCGTATTTTAAGTGGCACAGGCCCTTCCCCCCACTCCCCACAACCCACAAGCAGAATGGGTAAGATCTATACAAAGCAGGCCTCCTCCTAGCTGGTTACCTGAGCACAGTCACGCTCCCCCTGCGCACAGGCAGGGAAAGCACAGGTTCGGACACCCGGATAGGCTTGAACTGGAACTTGCAGCCGAAGCAGAGCGCGGAGTCGCTAAAGAAGGACACGGACACAATGGGGCGCTCGAAGATGTGGATGGGGTCCACGTGCGACACGATGCAGCCACCCGGCTGGTAGTCGTTGATGACGGCGCTGTTGACGAAGCCCTCGGGGATGACGCGGTGCTCCACCAGCTTCTGGATCACCAGCTGGTGCACCCACTCGGGGATCTCGTCCACGTCTCCCGGCGGGTAGAGGCGCTCCTGGCCGGGCCCGCGCTTCTGTAGCTGGGCGCCGTACGTGTAGCCCTCGCCGAAGAAGTACTTGTTGCGCAGCGGGGCCCGGTCCACCGTATGCTCGTTGTACAAGCCCTTCTCGGCGCGGGACACCACCTCGTCGATGCGGGCCTCGATCTTGGCGCATTCGTCCTGACTGAAGAGGCGCATCTGGCGGATGCCGCTCTTCACCTTACGCGCCTCCTCCTCCCGCTGCAGCTGCTGCTCCTCGTAGTCGCTGCGCTCCGGGTCCGAGTCTTCCTGGAACTTGCGCTTGGCCCCGGACCCCGGGTAGGGCTCGGCGGCGGCGGCGGCGGCGGCAGCAGCGGCTACAGCGGCGGCAGCGGCAGCCGCCGCCTCCCGGCTGCCCGCTTTATAGTTGTCCCGGGCCGTCATGGACTTGAGCTTCTCACGCAGGTCCGTGTAGCCGCCGGCGGTCGCCATGGCCCCGCACCGCTCTCTAGGGTCCTCTGGGGCGGGCGGGGCGGCCGGGCATGGCCCTCGGGGGACGCGCCCCGGCGCCCCCGGGGAGGAGGGATCCTTAGCGCCGGGCCCCCATGCGTTGCCAGAGGGCCCGGCGGGAGGCGTCGAGGAGCCAGGCGCTGGGTCGGGCCTTAGGGGCGGCGGGTCATGCAGCGGTGGCGGCGACGGGGCGTCCTCCTCCTCCACTTTCTCCACGTCCTGGGGGGCAGGGGCGCCGGTCGCGCCTCATGCCGCGGGGGCTTCTGCAGGGGCGCGGACTCACTCCCGGCCGGACCCTCGGACACCCGGCCCGGGCCGCACTTTAAGGCGCTACTCACGACGTCACAGGCCTCCCGCCCGACTTCTGCCAGCGCCGCTCTTCAGCGGGCTCGCGGGCGCGCACGCGCAGTGCAGCCGGCCGCCGTGAGGGCCTGCGTGCTCCGAGCATGCGCGGGAGTGCAGGCCGGCCGGCGTAGGTGCCAGCGCAGGCGCACAGGGGGGCCGTTCGGCGTCTGCCGCCCTTCCCCCACTCGCGGAAGAGCTTCGAAAGAGCACCCTCAAATAGCACCCTGCCTCTACGTCGCGCCGCCTCTGGTTCGGAAGGGCCCCCTCCGCCGGGGTGCGCTCACGCTGTCAACGCTGTTGTTATGCTGTGTCACGGCATCATCCGAAAACCCGTAGAAGCCTCAACCCCCAGCGCGCAATCACCAAGGAACCGCCACCAACTCGCCTGCCCCGTTACCACCCCCTTTGGCATTTCCACTCCTTTAATTGGGCCCCCGGCCATGCGCCGGGCGGGCCCAAACGGGAGCTTCCCGATGTCGGTTGGTAATCATGCCTGTCACTCAAGCGGCCGCCGTCGCTACTGCGTCCGTCACTTAATTGGGGACGGGGAGGGCGGCGAGGACCTCTAAAGGGTAAATGAGTGGCTAAGTAAGTGCCTGAATGGAGGCCCCACCTGAGGAAAGCCCTCAGGACACTTAAGGAAACTTCTGAAACCAGCGGGAACTTCCCAAACTGCGGGCCGAGAGCACCGGCCTCAGCTCTGAACTCGGATGGCGGCGGCCGCAGAAGTTGGATTAGCTTGGCTGTGGTAACCCTCCAGCTGCCGCTGCTGCTGGGAGCGGACGTTCCCGGAGTCACGTCCCGGCGGCGGTGGACGCGTGCGCAGCCTCGGGAAGCGCGCCTGGGGTGGGGGCGGGGCGGGGATCGGTGCCGGTCGTCCGTACTGGAGTCTGGTCCGGTGGCGCCTCTTCGGGTTACAACAGGAAAAAAACTCAAGAGAACGAGTAGGCGCACGGATAAGTTTTCGGGAATCAAAAGTTTTTAAGTCGTGCACTTGGGCAGTATGATCAAAGGCGTGGCGATGCGAGATGCACGAAGCCGGGTGCCCCAAGTGGGGGTTTCTGCTGGAAAGCCTCCATGGCTCCCCGGGATAAAATCCAACTGCTTTGTTTGGCGTTCAAGGCCTTTGTTCAAGAGCCCCTCCGGCTCTACCTGCTCGTCCCTCTTTCCGTTATACTGAGCCCAGCCTCGCCCTTACACTGCCAGGTCTGCAAACATACCGTCCCACCTCCGGACCTTTGCCCGAGCTGTTTCTTCCACCTGGAATGCCAATTCCTGTCCATGCATCTCCTTCATTTTGATTCTTTGAGGCCCAGCTCACCGCGCCTCCCGATTCCTCTGAAATGAAATGCATCTTAGCCTTCGTAATCTGGTCTTTGCAGATGCCTTCAGCCTCACCTTCCTGGCTATTTTGCTCCCGACCAGTCACATGCACTCTCTGTCTCTCACACACACACACCAGTTTGTCAGAGCAAAAGCATGGACTCTGGGATCTAACGGACATGGGTTTGAACCTTGATGTCATAATCAGCTATACGACTTTGGGCAAGTGACTCATCCACTCTGAACCTTAGTTTTCTGGTCTGTAAAATGGGGATAACATGAGTACTCACCTCAAATGGTGGTTGTAAAGATGAAATGAGATATGTATATTAAGGGGGGGAGCACATTGGTGGTTTAGTGGTAGAATTCTACCTCATGCACAGCCACCACCTGTCTGTCCGTAGAGGCTTAGGCATTGTTGTGATGCTGAACAGGTTTCAGCGGAGCTTCCAAAAATGGACTAGGAAGAAAGGCCTGGTGATCTGCTTCTGAAAATCAGCCAATGAAAACCCTGTGGATCACAATGGTCCAATCCACAACTGATCGTGGGAATGGCACAGCACCGGGCAGCATTTTGTTTTTTTTTTGCATGGGGTCGCCATGAGTTGGCGGCCAACTGGATGGCAGCTAACAACAGCAACGTTAAGCAGAGGAGATCACTGACCTTGAGCCTGGGCCTTAGTTTCCCCATCTGTAAACCGTGAGTCCCGCCAGTCTTTGTTGGAAAGTGGGGGTTGTTGTGTGGCAACTTGGCAATGCCAGGCCAGCAACGCCTGTAGGATGGGGATGTCCAGACACCTGGGACCCTGGCAGTCCCCAAGCACTCGCGCCTGGCCACCTCTATCCCAGTAAGCAGCAGCAGCAGTTGCAGGTGAAAATGGGGCAGGCATGAAGCCTGCAGTAACTTTGGTTCCTACCCTTTTCAGACACAGCCTAGTGGGGCTGGGGGTCAGGGAGGGTGCTAGGAAGGCAGCTGCAGGCAGGCAGGGAGAAGGTGGCCAGAGGGCAAGGCTAAGGCCAGGCAGCCTGGCCGCTGGGTCAGTCCTGCCAGAGCCACACTCTGTGAACCCCTGGGCAGGGCCCCTCACCTGCATGTTGGGAGGTTGGGCTGTGGGGGCTTAGGCCCTTCAGAAGCCCAATGCCCCCCTCCCCCTCTAAACTGCCCTCCAACAGGAAAGGATCAGACTCTACTCACATACCTGCATGACAGGGACCTCCCTACCTTCACAATCAGAAAGTCTTCCCAGAGCCTCCCCTATGGAGCCCATGTCTGCTCATCCAGGCAGAAATGGGAATCGCCTCTTCTCTAGATTGGGACAGCCCCTTGCATTCCCAGACACTCCATTGGAAGCTTCCATGTGTTCACCCTTGACTATATGCTCTTGAGCCGGAATGCTCCCCTCAGTGAGAAACAGACTGGACTCTGGAGCTAGCTTGCTTGGGTTTGAATCTTCACTAGGCCATTTAACCAGTTGTGTAGCCTTGGACAAGTTGCTTCAGCTCTCTGGGCCTGTTTCCCTATGGAGAAAATGAAGGTACTAATAGTGCCCACCTTGTTGGGAGTGTTTTGTGGATTAAATGGGTTAGTTCTAGTTTGTGTAAAGTACAGTGCCTGGCACATAGTAAAATCTTGATAAGAGTTAAAATGCCTGACCCTCCCCACTTCAGATATTATTTGCATCTCATGCTGGACCTAATGATGACCACTTAGAAAGCGCTTGGCTAAAAGTTTCTGTGTTCTGTCAATGCTTCCAGTTTACAAGGAAGGAAGCAGAGGCTCCAAGAGGGCAAGCATCTTGCCCAAGGCCACACAGCTCTTCAAGAAACAGGTTGACACTGAACTGTGCATGTAGAAATTTTTGAAATGGTGTATTTTTGGCTATGTATATTTTCACCAAAAAACAAAAAAGGTCGAGAACGGAGAGGATTGACATGTCGTGGGGTTGTTAACCAATGTCATTAAACAGTATGTGTACTACTGTTTCATGAGAAACTATTTGTTCTGTAAACCTTCACCTGAAGTACAATAAAATACATAAAGAAAAAAGAAACAGGTTGAATTTGTACATAGGCCTCTCTGGCTCCATAGCCTGGGCCTTCAACCACCAGGCCAAGATTGCCTTAAGAGGATTGTGGTTCCTGGTGCAGGAGGAGGTGTCCTTGATAGGGGGGAAGTAAAGTGGGTATGTGGATGCTGGAACGTGGCTGGGCCCAGTCCCCTGTCCCACATGGGGCAGTAATGAAGTACTTCCTGTTACTTCTGAGTGCCCAAGTATCAAGGTGTCTCCCGCCACACCCATCTGGGACCCCAGGCCTTCATAAGTGTGCCTAACTCAGGCTTTGACAATCAGTCATTCTCCTCTGTTGTTCTCCCTCACAATTGGCCAGACACCCTGGGGACTGGTTACCTCTGCTCTGGGTCTCCCACACCCACCTGGACTTCCTGTTTTACCCAGTTTTGGCCCAAGTCTCTATTGGGGATGTTCATCTCCCTCCTCTCTATCTATTCCTAGCAAACTCCTACTCATCCTTCAAAACCCAGCTCCAATGTCCCATTCTCTGGGAAGCCCTTTTCCAGACTTCTCCCTCCTTTCACTACACCACTCTTTTTGTTTGACTTTTTTTTTTTGTACTTTAGATGAAGGTTTACAGAACAAACTAGCTTCTCATTAAACAATTAGTACACATATTGTTTTGTGACACTGGTTACCAACCCCACAACATGTCAACACTCACCCTTCTCGACCTTGGGTTCCCTAGTACCAGCTTTCCTGTTCCCTCCTGCATTCTTTCTAGTCCTTGCCCCTGGGATGGTGTGCTCCTTTAGTCTAGTCTTGTTTTATGGGCCTGTCTAGGAGTGACTTCATTACTTAGCTAAAAGAGTATCCAGGGGCCATACTCTCAAGGTTTCTCCACTCTCTGTCAAGCCAGTAAGTCTGGTCTTTGTGAGTTAGAATTTTGTTCTACATTTTTCTCCAGCTCTGTCCAGGACCCTCTAGTATGATCCCTGTCAGAACAGTCAGTGGGGGCACCATCTGGCTGTGCTGGACTCAGTCTGGTGGAGGCTGTGGTAGTTGTGGTCCATTAGTCCTTTGGACTAATCTTTCCCTTGTGTCTTTGATTTTCTTCATTTTCCCTTGCTCCTAAGGTGGTGAGACCAGTGGGTATCTTAGATAGCCACACACAAGCTTTTAAGACCCCAGACGCTACTCCCCAAAGTAGAATGTAGAACATTTTCTTTATAAACTGTGTTATGCCGATTGAGCTAGATGTTCCTGGAGACCACGGTCCCCACAGCCCTCAGTCCAGTAATTCAGTCCCTCAGGGAGTTTGGATGTGTATATGGAGCTTCCATGACCTTGCCTTGGACAAGCTGTGCTGGCTTCCCCACTATTGTGTACTGTCTTACCCTTCACCAAAGTTACCACTTAGCTATTGTCTATTTAGTGTTTTTCCATTCCCACCCCTTCCCTCTCTCATAACCATCAAAGATTGTTTCTTTTTGTGTGTAAACTTTTCATGAGTTTTTATAGTAGTGGTTTCATACAATATTTGCCCTTTTGTGCTTGACTTATTTCACTCAGCATAATGCCATCCAGATTCATCCATATTGTGAGATGCTTCGCAGATTCATCATTGTTCTTTATCGTTTCGTAGTACTCCATTGTGTGTATGCACCATAATTTGTTTATCCATTCATCTGTTGATGGGCATCTAGGTTGTTTTCATCTTTTTGCTATTATGAACAATGCGGCAATGAATGTGGGTGTGCATATGTCCATTCGTGTGACGGCTCTTATTTCTCTGGGATATATTCCTAGAAGTGGGATGGCTGAATTGTATGGTATTTCTGTTTCTAGCTTTCTAAGGAAGCACCATATCGTTTTCCAAAATGGTTGTACCATTTTGCATTCCCACCAGCAGTGCTCACTACACAACACTTGAACCTTGTGTAGTCCATCCAGTGATGGGGGCCTGGTGTTGGGGCCACCTAAGGGGTAGAGAGTGGGGACCTGCAGGGAGAGGTAAGGGCTCTGCTGGAAACTCTGTTCATGAGCAGTAAGTCAGGGGCACAACCGAGCCCCAACTTCTGCCTCTTCCCCCAGGCTTGCTTCCCAGCCACTTAGCAGCTCCCTGGAGGAGATGGCTGCCAGGTACACCTTTTATTTATCTGTACAGAAATGACCAAGGGTCACACATCCAGGCTAAAAGGGAGTCCAAGGCAGGAACCTGAGGAGGATACGGGGGCTGGGAGGTGGAGTCTAAGCAGATTCACGCATCAGACCCTAAGTAAACCATAGGCCAAGTCCAGTTCATCTAGGCCACTGATGTAAGGCTTCCCTGCCACAGGTGGGCGTTCAGGCAGGGCTGTAGTGGGTATGTGGCAGGAGGCCCCACGGTCCTGCCTTCTGCTTAATTGCACCATGTGGCAGCCCTTGCCAAGTTCCTCCTGTTGGCTGCGTGCTGCACCTCCATCCCAACTCTAGATCGGTCCTCAAGGGGTCTTGGGGACTTGGGTGGCTCCTCCTGCCTCCTCTTGGCCTCCCCTAAGTCCTAGCCCCTTACAGACCCAAGTCTTCTGGCAGAGGGCAGCTGGAGGCCAGGGCCAGTCAGAGCAGGGTGATCTCGCTGGGGGGCAGCGTGAGCCGCTTCTCATGGGCACTGAGCAGGTTCTCCACATGGGCAGCCACCACGCGACATAGCTCCAGGCCCTGCAGGAGACACTGAGAGTCCACACCTGCCCACCCATTCCCCAGGTCCTTGGAGGAGTTTGAGGAGCAGGGAGGCAGGAAGGTCAGCCATAGGCTGCAAGGGCCAGTGCCGAGGGTTAGGGGAGGGGGCCAAGTGCATCCACTGGCTGTGGGCTGATAAGTTGGATGGCCCTGGGCCAGTCACTTCACCTCCTTCAGCCTCAGTTTCGTCATCTGTGGGCTCTCAGTTTACTAGGGCTTGCCTCACAGGACTGTTGTGATGATTAAATGAGATTTCACTATGTATAAATCCTTTAATTTTTAGATTTTAATATTAATCCAGTCAATACAAGGTCACTGTTTCTGATTATGTTTTGCCATGGTTGCCACCTGGTAGCACAGCCTAGGAGGAGCGGGGACCCGGCCCCAGGGCTCCAATCAGGGAAAGACAGCAGGGAATGGTGAAAACCAATTTGGGAGTGTGGTTCTCAGACCAAAGCCAGCATCAGAATCCCCTCGAGGATTTCCTGGGGCTGAGAGAAGCTGCTCTGAGAGAGGGTAAAAATAATGACAGCAGCGCTTATTGAGCATCATCTATGTGCCAGGCATTGTCCCCATTGAATCCCCACAGCGTCCCTATGAGGCAGGTGTGATTATACTCCCATTCCACAGGTGAGGAAACTGAGGCCCAGAGAGAGGAAGCCACTCACCTCAGATCTCACACCTGTGAGGTGTGGGGATTTGAACCCAGGAGGTACGAAGCCTAACGCCACACTCTAAACTGCTCTTTGGTGAGGTTTCCTGCATCTGCTCCTGCCCTGGGGGGGCCACGTTGGCTAATTAGATCGGGGAACCTAGATGTGCTTCTGCGTGTGCATGGTTGGGGGGGCGGTCCTCCCCTCCAGCCAATCCATCGCCTGCCTAACACCAGCTGTGTTCCAGGTCTCAGTGGGATTGTGGCAGCTGTGGAAACTGAGGCTCAACAAGCAGCAGAGGTGGCTCAAGATCCTCTCACACAGCCTGTCGGAGGCAGGCGGATGGGGACCCAGGTTTGTTAGCTACAATGGCCACTGCACTGTGACATCACCTCCTCCTGGAAGCCCTTCCTGATGACCTCCCAGTCAGCACAGTTCCCCTATACACCCTCCCGGCACTGATCGCATTTTATTCCAGAGATTCCTTCATGCCCATCTTCCCCCATGAGACCCAGGGCTCTGTGAGGGCGAGGGCTGAGGGCTAAGGGCCCCAGTCACTCAGTACCCTGCAGCTGGTGCAGAGGTGAGGGCTGAGGGCCGAGGGTCCCGGTCACTCAGTACCCTACAGCTGGTGCAAGGTCTGCTGCATGGAGATGCTCAGAGTTCTGTGCTGAATGAATGAGTGAATGAATGAGTGTGTCCCTAACACACACAGGCCAAAGGCAGAGGTGGCAGTATAAAGAGGTCAGGGGGCTGCAAGGAGGAGGAGGAGCCACAGAGGCCTCCACCCACTCATCCACCATCCAACAGGTGGCTGCTCCGCATCAGCCAGATGCCATGGATGTGGGGGGCGGGCACTGTGGACATTGCCCTGCCCTTTGGGGCTGACATTCTGGAGGGAAGACAGACAATATGTAAGCAGGCAGAGTGAATTACTGGGGAGGAAGGCCAAGGACAGCTTCTCAGGAGGTAAAATTTGTGCTGTAACTCCAAGAAAGGGAGAGAGGGAGCAGTGTGATGAATCAAGGAGGAGTTTTCCAGAGCGAGTGCAAAGGGCCAGGGGCAGGGCAGGGGAGGGCAAGCCTGGCCTAAGGGAACTCGAGAGGCCAGGGTGCTGGAACAGTGAGGGGAGGGGGAAGGCCATGGAGGTGATGAGAGGAGGAGAGAGGAATGGGAAGGACTCCTGGGTTTGGGGCCTGAGTGCCTGGGAGGCTGGGGAGGATGATGAGGGGGAGGAGCAGGTTTGGGGGGATCAGGAGATAAGACGGAGAGGCCTATTGGCCTCTGGGGAGATGCTGAGGGGCCTGGAGTTTGAGTTGGAGCAGGAAATAGATATATGGGGGCAGTCATGGTCCAAGCGGTTTTGAGAGCCTCAGAACAAGACAGGGTGCCTGGGGGGAGAGGCCCAGACTCAGCCACCTTTAGAGATCGTCCAGGGCAGAGAAGCAGGAAATGGAACCAAAGGTGGGAGGCCAGGGAGGTAGGAGGATGACATGGGAGCACCTAGGGGGAGCTCAGAGGGGTGGGCTCAGGGCAGCAGGGCTGCCGGTGCCCAATGCTCCTTGGTGTAAGTCAACGGTCAGGGTGGCCCTCAGTGAGAGCGGAACGAGCATGAAGGGAAACAGAGTGGGGGAGTGTGAATCACCGGTTCTCAAAGGGACAAGGGGGCTTTGTTCTGGCTCTGCCCCCAGGTGCAGGGCTGGGGAAGTGAAAGCCTTTCCCTCTTGCTCTGGGAAATCAGCCCCTCCCAGGCAGGCCCTGGCATGGGGGCCTAAGAAGGTGTTGGCCCAGATCTTGAGGCAGGATGCAGGGGGCTAGACAGAGTAGACAGTGTTTGTCCCAACCCCAATTCTGCCCCTTCTCTGGGCCTCAACCCCATCTCTACAGTGGAGTCCCACCGCCCTTCCCCCTGGCTGTGAGGCTTGGACAGGAGCCCAGAGGTGACCCTTGCCTTTTACGAAGCTGCCACAGTTGATGAGAAGGTACAGGGCAGGTAGGTCTCAGTTTCCCACCAACCCACCCTCAGTCCCAGGCTCCATAATCCAACTTCCATGACTTAGCCCCAGTGAACCTTCTCAAGCCTCCTGTGTCCCTCCCTCTCACCAGCCCTCTGTGGCTCCCTAGTGCCCTCAGGGGAAAGCCCCAGATCCTTAGCTTGACATCTAAGCCCTTCAAGATCAGCCCTGCCCTGCCTGTGCATCCCCAGGGCCCCACCCACTCCTCACTATTTTGTAAACAACCTGGACCCTTTCCTTTGGTTCCACTAGCCTTTGGTTCCACTAGCAAGATGCTTCCCTGGAAGACCCCCATAACAACCGGCATTGTATGTGGTGTTGGGTCTGGTTCTGCCTGTACTGGACTACACACTCCTTGGAAGCACAGCCAGGACCTGACCCTGGTAAATGCGGGTTGCATGAATGAGTGAGGGGTTGGGTAATGAGGCCTCAGGGCCAGGGCTGGGCGCACCTGCTCCAGCTGCAACTGCATGGTATGCTGGGCCGCCACATCCCCCAGTGCGATCTCCACATAGGGATAGCTGGAGTTGGCCGTGGGCCGCTGGGTCCGGGTCGACTGGATCTCCTTCAGGGGGAACTTCACCATCAGTTCCTAGGAGTTGGGGAAGGGGGTCAGACAGGTTGTGGGTTGGGGACCTTCTCTCTGTGGCCCAGTGCTTTCAACCATTCCTTCCCCTCCCCTGCAAATCAGCTCCGTAGAAGGCAGGAGACCCTGGTTCGAGTACCAGTTCCCTAGTGACTTGCTGTGTGACCTTGAATAAGTTGCTTTACCTCTCTAGGCCTCAGTTCCCTCACCTGTAAAATGGATAGAACCAACAATGATAATGCCTTGGCACTGTGCCAGCCCCTGTTCTAAACGCTAGGGTCCAGGGGCATGGTAGATGCTGTCGGTGTCCTGGCCTTCACCTCTACACATCAGAGCTGCCTCTTATGAACACTTGTAACTCTGTCTGGAGGCTTTATTTCTCATCTCAGACCACACACTGGGCAAGCCAGATGTAGATTTAATGCCTCAGGAAGGAGCCCTCGACTAATGGGAAATGGCGAGTAACACCCCATTATTGAGATTATCTCCTCCTCAGCTGAGGTAACACAGAGGTACAGCTCCACACTGTCTCCCAGAGGACTCCAGCTAGACTGAGCTCCAGTTGCCCACAGCCATGACCTGCGTGGTAACACACCCCTTATTGGCTCCATCCCTGCCTGTCACTACCTAACATCAGTGTTTTCTAGAATCACCTCCAAATAAACTACTTCCACTGCCATCCTTGTCTCAGGGCCTGCTTCTGGGGGCAGGATCTAAGAAAGGGGGTAACAGTCCCACTTGAGTGCTGACTCACAACAGCCCTAAGAGGTGGGCCTGCCTATCATCCTTGTCTTCCAGAGGAGAAAAGAGAGGCTCAGAGAGGTGAGGAGACTGGTCCGAGGTCACACAGGTGGGAAGTGGTGATCTTGGCCCTCAAAGAGGTGGTGGGCAGTGCCAGACCAAGGCCACTCACATGGGTCTTGGTGCTGAGGAAGTTGAGGCCATTATGGTTGATGGCAAGGATGCAAGGAGCTGGCACAGCCATATTGCTGCAGCTCTGGACGAAGAAGAAGGAAGAGCCGAACATGGGCAAGGCACTGAGGAGACCTGGGGTAGGGAGATGGGGTAGCAGTTATTGGACTGGATGGGCTCACAGCCACAGCCACCTCTTCCCTCGGCCGCACCTGGCACAGGAGCCCTCACTTTGGCCTCCCATCTCAGCCTTTTCCTCCATCCCTGCTCATAGCTCCTCTCCTCTCTGTTGCTTTTATGCCCCGGCCCACCCTAAGGCAGGTGCTCAGCTGGCACTGAAAATACCTTCCTGCAAAGAAAAATGTGCCTCCTGTGGATGGGAGAAGCAAAAAAGATACTTTCCCTGGGGGCACCTTCCTCTGAGCAGCCCCAGCCCTTGTGCAGTGCTTTGCCTGTACCATGCTCAGGGATACAAAGATCTCCATTCACTGAGAACTCCCAGTGTTCTAGCCCAGACGGTGTACCAGCGACCCATAGGCCCTCACCTTCCCCACACCAGCTCCCTCCCTAATATCCCCTGCTTGGTGACCCTGCTATCCTCAAAGGAGCTCAAGCTGGTTAGTGGGGTCCTCCTCCAGCCTCCTCCCTTCCCAACAGCAGCTCTCACTGAGGCGTGTCCATTCTTCCTTCTGAATGTCTCTTGACCCCATCCACCTTTCTTGTTCCTGGAATTCCATCCCAAACTCAGCCTCCATCTTCTACACCCTGGAAGCCTGCAGTGGCCTCCATGCCTGTGTCTTCCAGGTGTAAACCCACTTGGGCCCTTCCCCTTGTTTAAGTGCTTCTGTGGCTCCCCAGTGCCCTCAGGGTAAAATCCTGGGTTTGAATTCAAGTTCTCTCGTAGATCTAGCCACACTCCTCTAACCACCCCCGCACCATCCCTCCTCCAGCATTTGCTCATTGATTCTCCCATGGAATGCCCTTCCACACCCCCATCCTCCAGGACCCCGACAAGCCCTCGTACCCTCCACGCCCAGCCCCAGACTCTTACCCAGAAACTGGGCGCGGGCCTGGTGGGGGCTGAGTGCCTGTGTCTGCTGCCAGTGCTGGCTGATCAGGCTGAGCCAGGTGGAGCTGGCCGTCGTGTGGTAGAGCTGGGCTGGGATGTACTCCCGGACCTCCCGCCTGGGTAAGAAGGGAAAACCTTCTCTGAGCACCCACAACCTCCCTCAGAGACTCAGTGCTGGGGAGTGTAGATGGCTAAAGGCCAGCATAATTAAGTGCTCACACAAGGCCCTGGCATGCAGCAGGTGCTCAATAACTTGGCCAGTACCGCTAGCATCCCTGTTTTGCAGATAAGGAAACTGAGGCTCTGAGGAGTTCACTGACCAGCCCAAGGTTACACAGCAGCTGAGTGAGGCAGGCAGCCAAGACATGACCCTAGGCAGCTTTGTCCTTTGTAGCTCCTGCCCTCGAGGCAAAGCTCAAGCCAGGGGATGAGAAGCACACAGATGGGAAAACCAGCAGGGTGGGCTGGTGACAGCAGGGGCAGAAGAGCTCATGGCAGGGGTGCCCAGCTTCGGCCTCCTTCTCTCTGACACACTGGTCCTCCCAGGCAGCCTCTTGCCCTCTCTGGGCATCCAGAAAATATCAACAGCAGCCCAGCCTGTCCTGGCTGCCCTGGGCCACAGAGTGAGGAAGGGCTGGTAAAAAGTCAGGGAGCCTCCCACAAAGAGATCCATCAGGCACCATCTTTCCTCTGGTCTTGACACAGTTGGGTCTGGCCTCCCCAGGTTTGGATCCTGGTTCCCCCACCTATTAGCTGGGTAAACCTGGATAACTCAGATAACCTCTCTCAGCCTCACTTTCCACATCTGTAAAAGGGGAAAACCGTGTGCCATTGGGAAGGTTAGCTGAGATCAAGCATGCAGGGTGCTCTACAAAAAGTAAGAACTCAACAAGTATTTTTATCCAGGATTTTATGCTGCTCTTTTTACTTAAAATTATAACATAGAAAGGCTTTACATATTGAGCCCTTACTGTGTTACAAAACCCATTGCCATCAAGTTGATTCTGACTTACAGCAACCCTATACATCAGAGTAGAACTGCCCCATAGGGTTTCCAAGGAGCAGCTGGTGGATTTGAACTGCTAGCCTTTTGGTTAGCAGCCAAGCTTCTTAACCACTACACCACCAGGGCTCCACTGTGTTACAGGTGCTAGATAGATACTGTACACACATTTACTGTTATTTACACCGCTGTTTCTCAAAGTGTGGTTGAGGGCCTGGGAGGTCAGAGCCATTTTCATAATAATACTAGAAGGTGTGATTTGCCTTGTTCATTCTTTCTCTCATGAGTATACAGTGAAGTTTTCTAGAGGCTACATGACAGGTGATATCACAATGGACTGAACAGAAAAGCAGATTTGAGAATCCAGCTGTCTTCTATTAAGCCAGACAGTAAAGAGATTTGCAAAATGTAAAACAGTGCCACTCTTCTCACTAATTTTTTTCTTTTTGGAAAATGGTTATTGTTTCATAAAATGTTATTTATATTAACATGTAACAGGTTTATTATTGTTTTTAATGAATTAATAAATTTTTTTTCCTTAGTTTTAATTTTGAATAGAATAAATATTGATAGGTTTAACACACATGAACAAAAACTCTTTGGAGTCCTATTTTTAAGAAATAAAAACTTTTGGTCCCGAGAGACCAAAAGTTTGTGAACAACTAATTTTACACCATTAGCTTTTATTACATGTTTGAGAACATCAGTTTAGAGACTGCCTGACTCCCCATATGTTACTGAACTAATCCCCTATTGTTGGATATTGAGATTGGTTCCAGTATTATACTGTTTTAGACAACACTACCGTGAATATTTCTGTGGCTAAATCTTGCTGCATAGACACATGTACTTCCTGGACCACAGGGTGTGCATGTCCTGAAAGCTTTTTTATCATTAAATTTACTCTGAGCTATTAATACTGGCCAGAAGCAACTTGTTAAGAAAAGGGAGAGGGGGTCCCAGATCATAGGTGAGTTGGGGGACTTCAGTCCTAAGGCCAGGACAGCCCCTTCCCACACAGCCTCACTGGGGAGGATAGGGGGCCTGGGAATGGGCAGGCTGAGAAATGTCAAGGGGAAGAGGGAAGGACTGCCTGTCCATCCCAGTTGACAGATGGGTGGGTAGCCTGGTGGGCAGTACTTACACATTGGGCAGGTAGAAGTGGTCCTTGGTCCGGTGCTGCAGTAAGGCCAGCTTGGACACTTGCTGCAGCTGTTGCTCACTGGGCCGGCTGGGCAGCATGCTACTGAAGAGGCCCTTCAGGTAGTCAGGCAGGACCTGTGAGGAGCACAGAGAGGGGCTGTCAGGTGGGCACCCGAGTCATTCAGCTGTTGGGGACCTAGAGACGTGATTTTAATCACACTAGCCCCATCCACTTCTGGGGTGAGATGGCCCATCACTTTCTGGGGCTTTAGCAGCAGAGATGTGGAGTGAGCAGTGAGAACTATGGCTTTGAAGCCCATGTGTAAGCCCCTACAGTGTCCTGGGCAGGGTTTGGGCTGGTAAAAGTGGAGCAGCACCAGTGCAGGGTGGAGAAATGTCCATTAGGCTAGTGACTCTTAAACATGAGCATGCCCCAAAGTCACCCAGAGGGCTTCTTAGGACTGACTGCTGGTACACGCAGAGAGATAGAAACTGGATTTGTGGCTGCCGGGGGCTGGTGAAGGGGGTGGAGGGACATGGGGAGTGATTGTTTTATGGGTAAGGAGTTTCCTTTTAGGATGATGAGACTATTTTGGAACTAAATAGAAGTGACAGTTGTATAACCTTATGAACATACTAAATGCCACTGAATTTGTACACTTTAAAATAGTTGATTTTATGTTATGTAAATTCTAACTAAAAAAAAAAAAAAGTAGCCAAATTGCTAGGTTACACCCCCAAGAGACTCTAATTCACCAGATCTGGGGTAGGACTTCAGAATTTGCATCTTCACCAGTTCCCAAGGGATGCGGCTTGCCAGTCCACAGACCACACTTGGAGCAGCAGTGCACCAAACTGCACAGGTCTGGTCTTCAACAATGACACCATGTGGCCACAAAAGGTAAGTGACTGGGTTTTCTACTTGGAATTGCTGAAGTAGGCAGTACCAGTTACACAAAAACCCCTACTCTCTGTCCAAGTGTTTGCCACAAATTTTGGCATAGAAGGGGAGAACCAAGATTTTGTAAAATCCATGATCCTGACTGAGGCGAAGAGAACAAAGACAAAAATAATACTAGTAAAACACTGCTCAGGAAGAAATTAGGAGGGCAAGGGAAACCAGAGACAGCTGCATGGAAGAGGGACTGTTTCAGAGATGCCTTTATGGAGAGGGCTTAAATCAGCAGAGATGTAGGTAAGGACAGCCAGGTGGAGACGAAAGTATATGCAAAGGCCCAGAACTAGGCAGCAAGGGTAACATAGTGCTAACTACTCTGAGGAGACCATTTAGGGGAGCAGAAGCATTAGGATTAGAAATGTCAGCAGGGACCAGATCATGAAGGCCTCTAACACCAAGGCTGAGGAGTCTGATCTCACAGGCCTAGGGGAGCCCAGAAGGTTCTAGAGAAGCAATGTAGCCCACACATACTGACCTGGTTGTAGTGCATCGTCACATACAGCTCATTTTCAAATTTGAGCGGCTGATCCCAGAGCACGCGCCGGAACCAGAGCATGTAGCCGCCATCTACCTGCTCCATCTCTGAGGCCACATCCAGGATGTAGGCACGGCGGCTCAGTGGGCACACGTGCTGGCCTGCAGAGAGGAAGGAAGCAGGGCTGGGTGGAGCACACATGTGTGCGTGTGCATCCACCTGGGCCAAGCATGTGTGCAGACTCCAGCCAGCCACACAGCATCACCTGAGCAAGCCACCGCCCCTTGCCCCTTGCTGGGACTCATTTCTAATTAAAGGAGTGGGTATTTACAGAGTAACGGGCCTGGGACAGTTTATTGAAATGCTGACCCCAGATGGGAATTGCTCTAATTCAAAACTACAAGTAATGCTCCATTTCTCCCAAGGGACAGGCCTGAATAATGCCTTTGAGGGCAGCCTGCCCCTGCCTGGGAAAGTACTCAGTTAAGCTCAGAGAAAGCCCAGCCCCTTTCCACAGGAGGTTAGGGGCAAGCTGAAGCACAACACGCCTCAGCTCATGAGACCTAGTGGGTGTGCCTTCCTGCAGAACTTTCAGAGAAGACCCCCTGCAGAGCCCCTGGTGAGGGTGAGAGTCGGGGTGGGGAGGGCAATGAGTAGGTCTGTGAGGGAGGCTTAAGTTTTTCTTTCCTGAACTGGCATTTCTGCCAACTGCCCCACACTTTGAGTAAAACTTAACTAAAGAGAGGGGCTGGGGCATGATGGTGAGAGTCCAAGTCCCAACTGTGTGACCTCGGACAGGTCACCTAACCTCTATGGCAGGGTGAATAATGGTCTCCAGACATGTCCTCGTCCTAATCCGTGGAACCTGTGCATGTGACCTTACGTGACAAAAGAGATTTTGCAGATGTGACTAAATTAAGATCTTGCAATGAGGAGATTAATTGGATAGGCCCATATACTCACAAGGGTCATTGTAAGAGGGAGACAGGAGGGTCAGAGTTAGAGGAGAGGAAGAGGAGGAGATGCGAGAACAGAAGCAGAGGTCAGAGAGAGAGATTGAAAGATTCTGCACTGCTGGCTTTGCAGATTTTTATGGACTGAACCATGTCCCCAGAAAATATGTACTGTAAATCCTAACCACTATGCCTGTGGTTATAACTCCATTTGGGAATGAGTTGTCTTTATTATGTCAATGAGACAGGATTAGTGTAGGGTATATCTCGAGTCAATCTCTTTTGAGATATAAAAGAGATTAAACACCAGAGCAAGCAGAGGTAGGGTAAGACAAATGTTAAGCCACATGAAGACTGCCCAGAAGCAGAAGCTGAAGAGACAAGGACCTTCCTGCACAGCTGACAAAATCCTTACCCAAGAGACTCTAAATTCGGACTTCTAGCCTCCTCAACTGTAAGAGAATAAATTTCTGTTTGTTAAAGCCACCCACTTGTGGTATTTCTATTATAGCAGCACTAGATTACTAAGACAGAGGTGGATGAAGGAGCCATGAGCCAAGGCATGCAGGCTACCTCTAGACACTGGAAAGGGCAAGGAAATGCAATGTCCCCTAGAGCCTCCAGAAGGAAGGCAGCCCTGCTGACACCTTGGTTTTAGGATGTCTGGCTTCCAGAACTGTAAGATGATAAGTCTGTGTTGTTTCAAGCCACTCGAGTTTGTGGTAATTTGTTGCAGCAGCCACAGGAGACTAATGCAACCTCCCTGGGCCTTAGTTTCCCCATCTGTAAATGGGGACGATAACAGTCTCCACTTCATAGGGTTGTTATGGGGATAAAAGAGTTTATAGAAATAAGTGCTCTGAACTGTGCCTGGGACATACTATCTGCTCAATAAGTGTCCATCAGTAAGACCGTTTTGTTACTGCTTCCACGTCTTAGATGGACTCTGTGGGCTCTGGCAAGGCAGGGCTGACAGCACATGGTCATATGGTTCAGGGGCACTGGCAGTAGTGGGGGAGTTGGCTGGCGGTGGCTGGAGTTGACTGGCTGGGCAGCAGGAGGCAAGGCCACGGTCTGGGGTGGGCAGGCAGCAGATGGATGAGGCCTTAGGCTGCATGAAGGTCCCCCAGGGTCCCGGGGCCTATAGGGAAGGACCTGGTGAGATCACAAGAGGGGCTCCGGCAGCCACTGTTAAGGCCTGAGATGCAGGAAAAATGTTTGGACTTTTGGGTTCCAGGGCTCAGGACCGATGAAGGGAAACCTTCGCCAGGATGTAGACACCTTTCAGGCAGGGGCCACATCCTCCCACAAGTCCATGGGCCCAGACAGCACCGAGCAGGCCTAAGGAGCAGCGGAAGGCTTCAGAGCGAGTCCCTGTCCTTCAGGAACTCCCAGTCTGCAGGCCAGACTCTGACACAAAGCAAGAGGGCAGACCAGGGTAGGCAGTGCTCAGTGGACAGAGGTCCCTCTGTGGGGGGATTGTTATGGGGGGAATCGGGTCCCCCAAAAAGGCATGCTGAAGTCCTTGTTTGGATATAGGCCCTAATCCCATCTGAATGGTGTCCTATAAAAGAAGAAAAGAGATACAAAAAGGGACAGAGGGAAGGCAGTTATGTGGAAGGAGGCAGAGATGGAGTGATGCTGCAGCTGCAAGCCAAGGCACGCCTGGGGCTGCCAGACACTGGGAGAGATGAGGAAGGATCTTCCCCTAAAGCCTTGGAGGGAGCATGGCCCTGCTGACTTCCAGCGTCTGGAACTGTGAGAGAATACATTTCTGTCCTCATAAGCCGCCTGGTTTTATCTTATTATCTTACTGTTCTAGAGCACCTGTGGCCCCCTAGTAACAAGAGCAGGGTGCAAACTGGGCACCTACCATGTGCTGGCCCTGCACGATGCACGGCCACTAATACAAGGAACAAGGGCTTCCTGGAGGAGGTGGCATCTGACCCAGGCCAGCAGTCAGCTAACACAGGGATCAGGGGCTTCCTGGAGGTGGCATCTGACCAGGCCAGCAGTCAGCTAACACAGGGATCAGGGGCTTCCTGGAGGTGGCATCTGACCCAGGCCAGCAGTCAGCTAATACAGGGATCAAGGGCTTCCTGGAGGTGGCATCTGACCCAAGCCAGCAGTAAGCCTGGTGGCGGGAATCAGCCCAGCATGCTCAGTCTTCCTGGCCACTCACCTCGGCTGGTGACAACAAAGATGACGTACTCATCGAAGGCCTCGGTGCATGTCAGAGCCATCTCAGCACAAATCTGCTCCACCACATCCAGGGCCACCTGGAGTGGAGCAGGAGGGAGCAACCACGTGTGTAGGATGTACCTGACGGCTGTGCTCCCAGGAGGCTGAGCATAGAGTGCCTCACCTCTGACAGCCTGGACACCAGCCTCAAGTAGCCAAAGACTTCTGGAGTCCGAGAGGCTCAGGTTGGAACTCTGCCTAAGGACAACCTTATCTGCCTGTGACCCTGACCTGGAGGCATAACCTCTCTTAGCCTTAGTTTGCTCTTCCGAGATACAGTTCCTGCCTTGAGGGTCTGTGTGAGAGCCTGGGAGGGGCTCAGCATCTTGAGAACCCACCCCTACCCCAAGAGCCCTTCAAGCACCTGCCTGCAGGAACCCCTGGCACTCCCGCACTTACTGTGCATGTCTTGATTTTGAGATGGCGTTCAAGGCCTCCAGGAAGAAGAAAGAGCTGTCTCTTGGAACTTCGGCCAGCCTGGGGGTTGAAGACGGATAAGAGGCTGGGTCCTGGGAGTTCCCAAGCCCAGGGGCCCCTGGTGTGTGTGTGCACAGGGGTCCTGAGCAGATCATGTGCACACGAGGGCAGTCTAGGCAGGGTACATCTGCCCCTGCCACCCCCACTCACCAACATGGCCCGAAGCTCCATGCTGCTGGGGAGCTCCAAGCGGCCGCCGAACTGCAAGGTTTTCTGCAGGTTCTGCTCACAGGCCTTGGCAATACCTGGAGAGACAGGGGTCAGTCCTCTGGCCACCAGCCATGAGCCTGCTGTATTCTCCCCACAACCTGTGAAACAGGCATTGACTCCCCCATTTTAGAGTTGGGGAAATATGTTTGAGAGGTGCAAAGATTTGCCCAAGGTCAAGAGCTGGAGTGTGAGAGCTGAACTTGAACCCAGGGACACCTGGCTCCACTTCCCATTAAGGCCTTCTATCTACCCCACAGTCCCCTTGGCTACCTATGAGCTCTAGATACACGTCCCCAAGCTGCTGCACTGAGGCCTGGCCCCCAGAGGCTATGTGACTACGGTGGCGGTGAGGCTCTGGCCCTCCAGATGGGATTCCCCATGCCCAGTGCCCTCCCTCCCCCTACTCCCCAGGGCAGGAAAGTCAGCATCAATGCTCTATCTCTCTAGATTAAGCAGTGCCCTCTCCAAATAACTATTCTGGAATGGGGATTCTACTAGGGAGGGGACTAGTCAAGACAACAGCCAACATCATCCTAAACAGAGAGTTTGAAAGCATTCCCTTGAGAATGGGAACCAGACAAGGATGCCCTTTATCACCACTCTTATTCAACACTGTGCTAGCGGTCCTAGCCAGAGCAATAAGGCAAGAAAAAGAAATAAACAGTATCCAAATTGGTAAGGAAGAAGTATCCCTATTTGCAGATGATATGATCTTATGCACAGAAAATCCCAAAGAATCCACAAGAAAACTACTGGAACTAATAAGACGATTTCAGCAAAGTATGAGGATACAAGATAAACACACAAAAATCATTTGGATTCCTCTACACCAACAAAGAGAACTTCAAAAAGGAAATCACCAAATCAAAACCATTTACAATAGCCCCCAAGAAGATAAAATACTTAGGAATAAACCTAACCAGAGGGGTAAAAGACCTAGACAAAGAAAACTACAAGACACTACTGCAAGAAAGCAAAAGAGACCTACATATGTGGAAAAACATACCATGCTCATCGATAGGAAGACTCAACATTGTGAAAATGTCCATTCTACACAAAGCGATCTATAGATACAATGCAATCCCAATCCAAATTACAATGGCGTTTTTTAATGAGATGGAAAAACAAATCACCAACTTCATACGTAAAGGGAAGAGGCCCTTGAAAAGTAAAGCATTTCTGAAGAGCAAAGTGGAAGGCTTCACATTACCTGATTTTAGAACCTATTATACCACCACAGTAGTCAAAACAGCCTGGGACTGGTACAACAGCAGATACATTGACCAATGGAACAGAATTGAGAACCGAGACGTAAACTCATCCACCTATGAGCAGCTGATATTTGACAAAGGCCCAAAGTCCATTAAATGGGTAAAAGATAGTCTCTTCAACAAACGGTGCTATCATAACTGGATATCCATCTGCAAAAAAAATAAAACAAGGCCCATATCTCACATCATGTACAAAAACTAACTCAAAATGGATCAATGACCTAAATATAAAATCTAAAACGATAAAGATCATGGAAAAAAAAATAGGGACAACACTAGGAGCCCTAATACCTGGAATAAACCATAACTAACAATGCACAAACACCAGAGGAGAAGCTAGATAACTGGGAGCTCCTAAAAATCAAACACTTATGTTCATCAAAAGACTTTACCAAAAGAATAAAAAGAGAACCTACAGACTGGGAAAAATTTTTTGGCTATGACATATCTGGTAAGGGTCTAATCTCTAAAATCTACAACATACTGCAACACCTCAATAACAAAAAGACAAATAACCCAATTAAAAAATGGGCAGCTGAACATTGTGTGCCTCCAGATGAGATACCCTAAAAAAGACTACAGTAACACTCATGAAATATTCTAACCAGAAACGCACATGACCTGAATTTAATCAAGAGGAAACACCAGGCCAAACCAAATTGAGTAACATTCTATAAAATAACTGGCCTGTACTCTTCAAAATGTTTTCACTAAAGAAGACATTTAGGCAGCTAACAGATACATGAGAAAATGCTCACGACCATTATCCATTAGAGAAATGCAAATCAAAAGTATAATGAGATACCATCTCACCCCAACAAGGCTGGCATTAATCCAAAAAACACAAAATAATAAATGTTGCAGAAGTTGTGGAGAGACTGGAACACTTATGCACTGCTGGTGGGAATGTAAAATGGCACAAACACTTTAGAAGACCTAGAAATAGAAGTACCATACGATCCAGCAATCCCACTCCTTGGAATATATCCTAGAGAAATAAGAGCCGTCACATGAATAGATATGCACACCCATGTTCACTGAAGCACTGTTCACAACAGCAAAAAGATGGAAACAGCCTAGGTGCCCATCAACAGACAAATAGACAAATTATGGTACATACACACAATGAAATACTACACAACGATAAAGAACAATGATGAATCCTTGAAACATCTCACAACATAGATGAATTTGGAAGACATTACTCTGAGTGAAATTAGTCAGTCATGAAAAGACAAATATTGTATGAGACCACTGTTATAAGAACTCAAGAAAAGGTTTAAACACAGAAGAAAACATTCTTTGATGGTTACAAGGGTGGGGAGCAGGGAGAGGGGAATTCACTAACTAGTTAGTAGACAAGAATCATCTTAGGTGAAGGGAAGGACAACACACAATACAGAGGAAGTCATCACAACTGGACTAAACCAAAAGCTAAGAAGTTCCCTGAACACAACCAAAACACTTTGAAGGACAGAGTAGCTGGGGCAGAGGCCTGGGGATCATGGTTTCGGGGAACATCTAGGTCAACTGGCATAACAAAGTTTATGAAGAAAATGTTCTGCATCCCACTTTGGTGAGTGGCATCTGGGGTCTTAAAAGCTTGTAAGCAGCTGTCTAAGATGCATCAATTGGTCCCAACCCACTTGGAGCAAAGGAAAATGAAGAACACCAAAGACACAAGGAAAAGATTAGCCCAAGAGACAAAAGAGCCACATAATCCAGAGACACCATCAGCCTGAAGCCAGAAGAACCAGATGGTGCCTGGCTACTGACAAAGAACACAACAGAGAATCCCTGATGGAGGGGGAGAAAACCACAGAGCAGAACTCAAACTCATGTGAAAAGATCAGATTTAATGGTCTGACTGAGACTGGAGAAACTCCCTCATGGCTGTCATGTGACTGCAGGTGCCCCAGCCTATTTCTTTAGGGGACCCAACGGCTGGAGTTGAGGCCTGAGGTGTGGCTGCTTCCCCCATACTCCAAGGTGGAAAGGCTGAGACCCTGCCACTGGCTTTTGGCACACCTGCTCAGACCCACACAAGACCCTTGCTAACTGATTCCCCATGGCCAGAGAAGCAGGGCCTCACCCAGCACCTCAGGCTTGTGCCCACATTCCTCCCCTCCCCTCACACATGCCACACTCATTCTTTGCTCCTGCCACTGAGCCACTGTGATCACCACCAGCCCCTGTGCTCACCACTCAGCCACTGTGCTCACCACCAGCCGCTTGTGCTCACCACCAGCCCCTGTGCTCACCACTCAGCCCCTGTGCTCACCACCAGCCACTGTGCTCACTACTCAGCCACTGTGCTCACTACTCAGCCACTGTGCTCACCACCACCCACTGTGCTCACCACCTGCTGCCTGTGCTCACCACCAGCCACTGCTCACCACTCAGCCACTGTGCTCACCACCAGCCACTGTGCTCACTACTCAGCCACTGTGCTCACCACCAGCTACTGTGCTCACCACGAGGCAACACCTGCTCCTCCCTGCTTACTGCCAGTCCCTGTGGGGCCATCACAAGTGTTGGGACATGAGATAATGGTCACTAACATTGCCAGGGTCCCTGTGAAGGGTCAGGCCCTTTGGGCTTCCCTTTTGCCTGCCACCCGTCCAGTCTCCAGGCAGAGAGCCCACCACCCTGAGCACCTACTCGCTGCTCACCCTGGAAGGGTAGGCCCGAGGCCCGGCTCATGTCTTGGAGGAAGCAGAGGAAGTATGGCTGGAAGATCTCGGAGCAGCTGTGGTAGGCAGCCACGATAGATAGTAGCCGCCAGCCTCGCTGGCAGCTGTCCCTGCGAGAACACACCAGGGCCATGTTATGGGGCCGTGGCACTGGAGTACCATGCCAGGAGTCTCTTGGGACTAGTCTGGAGGTTTCCAGCTCTCAGGAAGCTCCTGTCTCCCAAGGACATGCTTCTCTGGCCAGTGAGAGCAGGGCAGGTGGCCCAAAGCCATGCAGAAGGCACATTCTGCTTGGGAAGCCAGGGGAAGAAGGGGTGAGGCCCCGGACACACACACAATGCACAAAGAAACCTGTCTTCCCAGACTGGGGGATCCCCCTGAGGAGGCTTATGGGTTAAGGTCCTTGGAGGAGGACAAGGGGCACCTGCTGGGGCTGTGCAAAGGTAGTGGCAGCAAGGCCTGGAGGTGGGAGGCCATGAGGGTGTGCTCAGCAACTCTAAAGTTCCTAGGGGAGGGAAGGCAAGTGAGGAGGCATAGGGTAGGACAGGGGGCAAGAGGGTGGCCCACTGGTAACAAGAGCAGGGTACAAATTGGGCACCTACCGTGTGCTGGCCCTGCACAAGGCATGGCAACTTATTCTCATACCACCCTGGGTGTGAAGGTTTCATGTGTGGGAACCAACTTTGGGGAACCACCCACTCGGCTCTAGGTCCCGGAAGTTTGAAGATGGTCATGGGAGCCAGGGCTGGCCAATTAGAACACTGTGGCTCCCTGGCTACAGTGGTTGACTTACAGATGGACACGTGACCCAGGTCTAGCCAATCAAAACTCTGTATTCTCCAGCCATTGTAGTTGGCTCAGGGAGAGGCATGTGACCAAGCAAACACAATGAGACTCCATTTGGGGATTTTTGCTGCAAATATTAAATCAGATGTTTTTGCTTTCCCTGGGATTGCTGAACTGGGGGAGATGTCTCCCCAGAAGTGCCATCTTTCCAACCAATGGAAGAGGCTGCCTGGGGGTGATAACAGAGGAGAACAGGGCCAAGAGAAGGAAACGTATATTTCCTAATGACACTTGGATCCAGCTGTCCCTGAAGCCATATACTCACTGAATTTTCAGTTACCTGAATCAATAAGTTGCTTCTTTTGCTTAAGCTAGTTTGAGCTGGGTTTACATCACTCGCAACCAGGAATACAGACTCACACATTATCAATGCCATTTTACAGATGAAGAAACTGAAGCTCAGAGAGCAAAAATTACTTGTCTTAGAATATGTGCTCTGCCTATGGAGTGAGGAAGAGGATGAGATGGAGAGAATAGGGGAGAAATGGTCTAGGGGAGTGGGAGGCTGAACTGGCTCCTCCTGAGCCCGTTGACACAGTGGGGGTTGGGGGCATAAAGTTCCAGCTCACTTACTGCTTGGTGCTGGTGTTGTCCGTGATCTGCTTCACAACTTGGCAGTAACACTCGTCCCGCATGACCTCATGGTCCCCACACAGCTGAAGGGGGGCAGGCCGGGTCACATGCCAAGGACATGTCAGGGGCCATACCACATACCAGGCACATAAGAACAGGGTGGGCACTTGGAGACAGGCCTGGTGCCCCTCCCCGACCAGTGGGGTACATTCCTCTTTGGACCATGGGAAAAGCTTCCCACCCAATGTCTGGCAACTCTGGCTGATATGGGGAAGCCAAGTCCCAGATCAGAGAAGGGACTGACCTTCAGGAGGGTGCAGAGCACATCCAGTTCACTCTGGCCCTTCAGTGGGACATCTCCCATGAACCTCATCACAGCTGTAGGAAAGACCTATCCCACTCAGGCCCACCAGACCCCCAATTGCCCACCTCATCCCAGGGGGCCTTAGGGTTGGACCCCTCCCAAGAATGCTTCAGGCAGGGGCAACAGGGGACTTCTATTCTCTTAAAGGGGCCCCACTGCCTGAATTGGGGGGAAGGGCAAAATCTGAGGACCAGAGAGAAGTAGTGATGACCAGAAGTCACACATAGCGTGATCCCACCCTGCCCAGGTCCCTGACCGCAGTCCCACCCTCACACCTAGGAACATGTCAGTGGCCATCTTGTTGAGGCTGCCGTCACTGAATTCGATGAGGGATTCCTGGAGTGGGATCTGTGAGGGCAGGGAGGGGTCTGTCATGATTGGGCAGGGACATGTCAGAACAGAATGGGGGGCACATTGTGTTTCAATGACAGGAGGGTCCACATTACAAAAGGGGAGTGAGGCCCAACACTGGGGACAGGTGCTGGCCCTGTGAGGAAGCCAGGCCCCTCAACAGTTTTGAGGGCTGGTCTGAGAGCTGGGGGTCTTGTTGAAGACAAGGCTGTTTGCCTCATGAGCCTGGAAGGAGGCTCTTGCATGACCATTTTACAGATGGGAAAATTGAAGCCCAGAGCTGGACACCTTAGTGAAGCAAAGCATATCCTCCAAGGTTCTGGACTCCCGACACTCCTTGGATTTCAGCTTGAGACCATCCCTGCAACAGGAGAGGGCGCCTGCTGGCCAGGCTTACCTCAAGGCCTTTGACAAGATCCTTTTCCCACGTAGGAAACAACGAACCGTTCTTAACCCCACCTGTATCACCAGGCAGAGAGGCACCCAGAGGCTGAGGCTGAAGCTGGCCCTCACACCTAGGCGGACTCTCACCTGGCCCACCAGAAGTAGGGCTCCCTAGCTCTGCAGCCTGCAGCTTGGACAGCTGCAAGGAGCCCCAGAAGGACCCTCCCCAGGGAGTGAGAAGGATGAAAGGTGAGGTCACCACTCACTTGGGTCTTCCCTGCGGGTCTCGGAAATACTTCTGGGCAAACTCAAGCATAGTAAGCCGTGGAGGAGTCAGGGCATCCTCCAGGCGGTCAGGTGTGCCCACCCTGGCCAGAGGACCCTGCAGGAGGTGAGTAGCTGCAGCTCCGGCATCTGGGGCCACCCAGCCTGGCCACAACCTGCCTAGCCCCACCCCCGTCAAGGCTGCCTGGCTGCTCAGATCCTCTCTGGTTGGCCAGCTCCCACTGCACTCCAGCAGCCCCCCTCCGGCCCCCACCACCACATTCACCCACTCCGCCTCGGTCTGCCCCCGCCCCCATCCAGTTTGCCCTGCCCTTTGCCCACTTTGGCCACGCCCCCACCTAGCCCTTCCCTGCCCCGTTTGGTATCCCCAAATGCCCTGTCCGAGCTGACCTCGCCCCTTCCTGACTCTCTTCCAGAAGCCTGGCCCACCCCACTCACCTGGCCCGGCCCCGCCAAACCCCAGGTTGATTTCACCTACTGGCGGGCCCAGGCTTGTTCGCCTCTTCCAGGCTTCCCATCAGCCAGGTCACAACCACCCCTGGTTTCAACTGACCGCCGCACCCTTCCCTACAGCATTTGGTCACACCACCAACCCCCTCTGGTCACTGCACTGCGGGGCCTGGCCACGCCCCTGGCGTTCAGGCTGACCCCGCCCCAGTCCAGGCCGGCCCCTCCCCCGCGGGCCTCACCTCTCTCCAGCGGCCCACCTTCTGAGCAGCTGCGATGGAGGCCACCGCAGCAGCCACGGCAGCGGCCCGGTCCCTGCCCGGCTCGGCTGGCAGTTGCAGGAAGTCGGGGGCGGCTGCGGGCTGTACCAGCTCCGAGGGGAAACGGCCCACACGCCCGTGAATGGTCCCGAACCTCCAGCCTAGGGGCAGGTAAGGGGTCTGAGGCAAACAGGAGGGGGGTCTTGGGACTGAGAGGACCTTTAGGGATACTTGGTACCTCCTTGACACCTCCCTACAGCTCCGTTGAGGGAGGCCATGCCATGTAGCCCATTTTACTGACGGGGAAACGGAGGCTCAGGGAAGAGAAGGGATTGTGTTTAAAGCCAGAGTGGTAGTGGGAGGTGGAGAAGAAAGGCGTGCAGAGACACAGAGAGAGACTTGGGCCACAAACATGGAGACAGTAATGCCCATGGAGACCCCCCACCCAGACAGGAGGCAGAGGACTGGCTGGATGGCTGCCAGGAGGGACTGGCAGGCCAAGGGAGGCCCCTTTGGGGCACCAAGAAATCCCTTCATGTACTGCAGTGTGAGTGCATGAAACTAGGATCAGCCCTGTTGTGGGGTTCCACAACTGGGGACAGGGGCTGGGGCGGGGGGGGAGGCTGGACAGGGGCATCCCAGTGTTCCCACCAAAGTCAGGGCCTCCACGCTGCAGCTCCTCCAGGTACACAACTTTCTTCCGGACCACACAGCCAGCACTGTAGCCTGTGGGCCAAGCTCCATCAGCATTTGCTTGGGTGGGGCTTGCCCAGCCCCGCCTCCTGCACCCACCCCAACCCCATGGCACTGACCCACTCGGGGTGGCTCCAGGGGCTGTAGGTGGATGATGTCGCCCTTGTGGAAGGCCAGCAGCGCTGGGTCCTCAGGCAGGAAGTTTCTCACAGCCACCACATAGTCTGAGTCCTAGGTCAGCAGAGCCAGGTTAAGGGGCTACAGTCCCATCCCCCTGCCTCTAGAGGCCTAGCACCTCACATCAGTAGGAAAGGAAGCATTCACTAGATGAAACAGGGAAAAGGCACTCTAGGTAGAAAGAACAGCCTTGCCTAGGCCTGGAGGCATGAGTTTGATGAACGCAGACAGACAATAGGGACAAGCACTCATCAAACCCTTCCCACTGAGGCCTTCTCTGGGCCAGGTGCTGGGCCCAAGGCATGAGGTGACCTGTTCCAGGCCTGGGGGCTGCCCAGCCTGGGGGGAGGAAGGCAGATGGTCTGAAATGCTGTGCCCGGGGCAATGTAGTCACTGCAGGAGAGTGGGGAATCCAAATGCTATGGAGCTCAGAGGAGGTGCTATGGCCACCCCATGGAGGACGTGAGGAAAGCGTTGCTCAAGGAGCAGGCAAAAGGGGGAAAGGGTATTCCAGGTGGGAGGCACAGCCTGTGCAGAGGTATAGGGCATCAAGAGGTCTATAGATATATCACTGGCGCAATCGTGCTTCCTCAAGCATGCATGGCTGGTATATACTTGGGGTGGGAGAGTCTTGTTCATGGGCCCTTGATTCTTGGGGGAGGAATTGCGGGGGGGTCCCAACCTTCTTCAGCTCCATGATGAAGTCATCTACCAAGGTCTTGACCTGGTGAGCACGGGCTGAGAAGAGGATGACCTTCTCGCTGGCCAAGTTGAACTCCAGCATGTTCTGGGAGGGGATGGTCACAAACAAGATGTCTGCAAAGCTGGAGGTCGGGAAGGTGGTATAAGGGTGGGACCCCATGGCCAGAGGGACCCCCATAGTCCCATCCTGCTCCTTCTGCTCCTGCCCTTCCCTTCTCTTCCAGCCTAGCCCCAGCTTAAGCCTTCCTTCTCTGCCACCAGATGCTCTCAGCCTCATTACACCAGCCCCCAGGAGATCCAAGGCACTTCCCTGACCTGCCCTCTCTGACCCACCTGTGACCTAGCCTTGTTTCCCATCACGTTTGAACCCGACACTCCCGCCCTTGCCTTGTGGCCCAGCCTCCCAGATTGTGCTCAACAAGCCTAGCCCCTTCACCCACTGATTGCATTCTCTCCACCTTTCAAAGCAAGGAGCTTTCACTGAGTTGGCAAGGGGGCCCTGTTCCTGTCCTTGTGTGATATAGGACAAAAGGGGCTGCTGGCAAGGAGGGGAGCCACGGCCTCAGCAAGGCCCACAGCCAGCACCCCCTTCCCTTTCCCAGCTGCATCAGAGCTTGGTTATCTGCAGTACAGCATGGGGATGGGATGCAGTCTAAGAGGCAGGACAGTGTGGCCGGCTCCTAGCTCATCCACTTCCTGGCTATGTGACCTGAGACAAGGAACTTCTCTCTGAGCCTCAGTTTCCGCATCTCTAAAATGGGCTAATTAAAAGGCTTGGCACAGAGCCTGGCACATCACAGGTACTTGGTAAGTGGCTACTGAATGAGTCAGTCTGTGCCCCAGGCTCCAGCCTGCCCATTCCTGCTGCCTGCCGGTCACCTGTATGTGCGGAGAACCTGAAGCTGCCCGCTGGCCTCCTGGCTGCCCTTGACCATCCGCAGGAGTTTGATGCCCATGTGAGACACAGCTAGGACCTGCACACCAGTGCCCACGCTACCCTGTGGCAGGGATGAGAGGCATGTGAGGGTCTTCCAGCCTCATATCTGAATCCCTTGGGTGGGCAGGGTTGGGTGCAGGACTCGCACCGTGGCAGGGAAGAGGCGGGAGAAGTACACCTCCCAGCTGTCTCGTGCAGTGCTGACCACGGCCCGCTTCATGCTCTCCGTCACCAGAGGCCGCTCCACATCCAGCTGGTTCTGGGCTAAGGGAGGCCATATGGTGTCAGGGCCCTACCCCCACCCCAGTGGCCCTCATCTCAGACAGGGAAGCTGACACCCAGCAAGAGGGTATCCGATCAGTGTGCTCTCACTGTACATGCTGGAAGGCGGAAACTCAGAGATGGGGGGAAGGCCTGGCCATGCCAAGCAGGGAGGGGCATCTGGGAGGCACATGGGCAGGGCCAGGGCAAGCTGTGGCCTTGGCTGCTGCCCCCATCAGCGCCCCTTCCTTCCCCTGCAGTACCAAACAGAGCCTTCATTCTGAGCCGCTCGTCCTGGGAGATGCGCAGGCAGGCCTCAGATAGGGTGTCATGCAGGATCTGAAGGAGAGCCAGCAGGGGTGTAGGCCCAGTGACTCCTCCCTCCAGGCTCTGACTGATCTGGGGCAAGTGGGCATGGGGGTCCCACTTATGCCACAAGGAGTCATCTGTGCAAACAAGACTCCACTTAGAGAGCCCTCTGGGGAGCCCTTCCAGGAGTGTCTCCTTGCCCCCAGCAAGTCTGCGCTGCCCACTCAGGCTTCAGTTCCTAATCTCTAGTTGGGGTTTGGATTTGATCCCTTGGCCCCGTCTAGCTCGGACAAGCTGTAACTCTGGTTAGAACGGATTGTTCGCTCGCTAACCCAGTCCGCAGGGGCAGGGGATTCCGAGACCAGCCCACACCCAGCCCAAGATCTCGATCCCAGGATGCGGGAAGCAGACAGACCACCTGTGTGTTCTTTGTCTGCTGAGGAGTTCGCAGCAGAAAGGGAAGAGCGGACCTCACCTGCCGGAACAGGAGGTCTAGCTGCACAGGGTGGTTGTGGTTGTCCTTGGGGTAAAACACCTGCGGAGCAGAGCTTCAGTGGGACACTTCAGGCTGCGCCCATCCCCTGCTTCCCGCTCGACCCCACCCCCTCGCTACTGCCCTGTCCTATGGTCCTTGCCCCTAGCCCTGACTCCACCCACTGGTACCGGACCCACCCATGGCCCTGCCCCCTGGCTCCGCCCGGCCTGGCCCAAAAACCTCTTTGCGAAGGAAGATCCGCCAAGGGGCATCCCGGTAGCCGTAGAAGTTGGGGTTGATAAGGCGGTGCAGTTGCGTCTGCACGGGCTCCTCTAGGGGCTCCAGTGACCGAGAGGGCAGCTCTAGGGGCAGGCATAAGGGGGCATGGCATGTCTGTCGAAGGTAGGGGGTGAGGTGGGGCCGGCGGAGGGGGAGGGGCCAGGGTCAGAAGCACTCCCACACATTCTCGTCCACAGACATACCTGCTCACAGGGGTGCACACGCATACCCCGCAGCCCTTTGACACAATAGAGCGCCTACTGTATACAGGCCCTTGCTAGGGGTTGGGAATACCATGGTGAACAGGATAGACAAGGAGCCTGCCCTTAAGTTTAGAGTATCATGGTAGGTGTGGAGGAGGCAGACAACTGAAAAACGACAAAAGAATGCCAAGAGCAGGGGTGGGAATAAAACACGAAGTAGGAAGGAGTCTGGGGGCCAGTCTGTGAGGGTTCTTCAATCCAAGTGATCTGAACAGGCATCTCTGAGGAGGTGACATTTCAGATAAGATCTAAATAATGAGAAGAGGCCAGACAGGCAAAGATCTGCCAAAGAGCATTATAGGCTCTTTGGTGAGGACTGAGTACATGCAAAATGTTTGGACCACCAGGGCGGGCCTGGCCTGTGACCAGTGTTATTTAAGTGTTGATACTGCGGTTGCACAAATGTCCACACAACATATACACACAGGCTCAGGGACACAGACCTACACAAACCACCAGCATACAGAGATTCACTCGTGCACAGGAAGACTCACACCTACACGTGAACACCCTACCCGCCTGCCCCTCCCTCCTTCCTGGCCCCCTCACCTGGAGTGGGCCCCACAGATGGCCTTGGCACACTGGTCACCGGCTTCACCAAGGCCACGGCCTCTCTGGGTACCTGTCCCCACACCAGAGAGAGTGCTCAGGGAGCAGCAGGGGGAGGGGGCAGCCAGTGGGACCCTGGCTTGTAGAGGGAGCTGCCTTCTGAGGCCACCCCTGAGGCCTGACTGTGTCTTCCACCCTGGCCCTGCCCAGCCCTGCCCCCTCACCTGGGTGCCAGGTGCTGCCACAGGGTGAGCCATTTGTTCCTTCAGGAGCATCAGGGCCTCCTCGTGGGGATCTGGCCGCTTCATGAACACCTTCCCACCGTCCTTCCTGGGTGGCGTTGGTGTGCTGTGATGGGCTGGACACTGAGTCTCCCCTTCCTACCATAAATTCCTACAATAGGGAACTTATCCCTCCACCCCCACCTCATTGTTATAAATGAGGAAGGTGAGACCCAGGGACACAGCACAACCTAGCTGACAGCAGTTGGGACCTCCCTCTGCCACAGGGGGCTCATCTGGACCACCTGCATAAGTACACTCACTTCCTAGAGGGAACAGAGCCTGGCACTACCTGACCCAGCAGACAGCACACTGATGGTGGACTCGCAGGCAACGGGTTAAGCCCTGTCCAGGGAGCTGGAGGCCTGGTGCAGTACTGACCTGAGGGCCTCAGGCGGGCCTCCCCGGGGTGCCTGGTACTGCCGCACGATGTTCTTGATCTGCTGTGTGGGCTGGGGGAAGTGCTCTGAGTTGAGCTTCGAATGCCGAACCAGCTCTAGGGAGGCTGCGGGCACAGGGCGAGGAGCAGAGGGAGGTCATGGGGCATGGCCACACCTACAGTCCTGTTTTGGTAACTGCTTCCCCCTCACCTCCCTGGGGATAGGGCACTCACTGGTTTCTGGAGAAGCCCAGTCCTGAGCTAGAGTGGAGACAGCTGCGGGCTTGGGGGGGGGCCTGGGGGCCTTGGTCAGGGGGGCTGGGGCCACAGGCCTTGGGGCAGAGCGCAGGAGCACTGGCTTGGCGGGAGGCCCAGTGCCCACAGACTTTGGCCATGCCTCTGGCACTAGCGGTTTCTGCGAAGAATAGGGCGTGAGGTGAGCTGCTGAGGACACTCCAGCCCCTTACCTGCTGTCAGGGACCCCAGCTCTGCCCAAGACAGGCTGTCGGGCTGCTGGACTCAGAGAGAAGCAACATTGCCCTGGAACAGCACAGCACCCCTCTCTAGAGTCAGCTCACCTCGGGGGGCAGAGGTCTCAGGGCAGGGCCCAAGGGCTGCTGCTGGAGTGCCATGGCCTGCAGAGTCATCTCCCGGGCCTGGGGAGAGGGGGCAGTTGGGACCAGGCAGCTCACTCTCGGCCCCCGCAGCAGCCCCTCACTCACTCACCAGCAGCATGGCCTGTTTGCGGATGAAGGCTTGCTGCAGGGCCAGTGTGGAGGCGTCCAGGCCTGGGACTGCTGGGCCAGGTCAAGGTCACGCAGGGAGCACGGAGTAGGAGGAGGGGGAGTAAGGGAGTGAGGGGGTGGGGTAGAGGGAGGTGGGAGTTCCCAACCATGCCCCTGCCAGCTTCTCAACCCTGCCTACCTGGGGCTGCCCCCATCCCAGCAGGAACCAGTGAGCAACCCCAGCCCTGCCCCACCCTGGAGCCACCCTGGGCTGGCACTGACTTGGCTTCGGCTCTGGGGGTCTCCCGGGGGTGTCTTCAGAGCTGCTGCTGCCGCCTCCACTAGGCTGGCCTCCCCCCTTCATGCGGTAGGCAATGGCTGTTGGCTTCTCCAGGTCCTGGGGGCAGCAGGTGGCTAGGGTGACCGCCTTAGTTCTGCACTCCCAAGTTCCATAGCAACGGGCACCTGACACCGCCACCTCTTCCACCTCTTCTGCTGGCCACGTATCTACTGTACACCCAGCCTTTGCCCATGTGGCCTCCAATTAGTCCTCCCCAAGCCCTGCCAGCTCCCGGCCCACCTACTCCCTTTCATAGTGGTGTAAACTGAGGCTCATGGAGAGGCTGTGCCCTGCTCAGAGGGGCATGTCATGTCTGGACCCCACGGAGGGGCTCCTAGGAGCTCCCAGTGTGAACAAGGGCACCTGAGGGGCTCTTGTAGGATCTGGGGCTGGAGGACCCAGGGACCAAGGTCATTCCCACCCCAGAGAGAAATTTCTCGGTGGCCACATAGGGCTGCTCCCCTAGAGGCAGGATGGGGAATCTGGGACCTCTAGCTGTGCAGTCCCTCTGGGGTCAGCCAGGAGCACCTCTAACTGTGAGGACACCCTATCCTTGGCCTGGCTCTCAGCAGAGACCAGCAAGGACATGCCATCCCATGTCTCTGGCCTGCCTGTGCCTGATGTGGGCACACGCCTCCATACCGCATCCCCGTAGGACAGCACAGGGTCGAAGAGGCTGTCCAGGTAGCAGTCCAGCCCCCTGTGGGGCACAGCGGGCTCCCCAAGGCTGTCCCAGCCTGCTTGGGGGTGGACACAAGAAAGTCAAGCTCTTTTCTCCTGCTGGTCTCCTTCCCCACAGCCCCCAGGCTCCCTCCCTACCAAAGACAGCAGCCACTTCTGGTTGACCTGGGTGGGTCGCTGTCTCTCCCTGGGCCTCAGTCTCCCCATTTGTGCCATCCTCATTGTGGCTGTAGTGCCCACAGGAGTCAGGTATACGGGGCGTGTGCCCCTGGGGTGGGTGCCTTGCAGGCGCATCCTCATCTGAGTCCCAGCTGCTCCCAAACACTCTGTGGGGGAGGGCGACATGAATGAGCTGACCCCCAGAGAGATCCATAGCCCACAGATAACCCACCTCCAGATTCTTTCCTGTGCCCTGGAAGTAGGTAACTCGGTCTCTTTAAAAGGCAGGACTGTTTGGTGAGCTCCACCTCCTTCAGAACCTCACCCAGCAGCTGTCGGGGCAGAGCCTGCTGCCTGGAGGGGAGACCGTCTGTGTAAGGGGATGCCCAGGTAGCTACCTACACGCTGGGGCTTCCCCTGCCAGCCACAGGCCCTTCTGCGCCCACAATGAAGTAGGACTTCTGCCGCGGGAAGTCCCTGAGTAGCTCTAGGTCCGACACCAGGTCCAGCACATAGTCGTGGCCAGCCAGCTCCACCCACTGGATCCCATTCTTCATGGCGACTGTCCAGCCCCGCCAGCCATCTGCCAGTCCCCTGGTGACATCATGCAGGAGGGATGGGAATGAGGCACTGCCTGGGGGGGTCCTAGGATAGGAGCCGGACCCCAAGCATGACCAGAATGGATCCTATAGGATCCTAGGGGATTTGGCCTCCTGTGCCTCCCTCCATCCCTCCCAGGTGTACAAGGGGTGCTGGGTAGGGTACTCCAGGAGCCAACCTGTGCCTTAGGATGTCTCCAGCCACCTCTTCCCCTGTACTCCAGGAGTGCACTGGGCAGGAGAACTGGTCCCCTGGGGAGGTAGCAGGTGCTGGGCTCAGTCTGGGCAGGTCTGTAGTTGAGGCTTCCTCTTTTCTCCTGGACCTCAGACCTGCAGCCTCCCTGCTTCTGCCTTGCCTCCCCCTTCCCCCAGGTCCAAAGCCACATCTGGACAGGCCCTTCTCCAGCTCAAGAGCCTCCTGCAGCTTCTCCTGACCCCAGGGAGGACAGCATTAGGGTGGGGAGGGCAGCTCACCATTGAAGCAGCCCACGTCCAGCGCCATGCTAGCTTTCTCCTGGGTGGCTTTCCACTCAAGCTGGGTTGGGGGAAAGGTGCGGGCGACCCTGGAGCCCTGCTGCTGGGCCCGGCCCATGGCCTGCACGAGGCGCTGCTGACACACAGCCTGGAAGCCATTCTGCCCATAATCAGACACAAACCTGGTGGGAGGGGTTGGAGCTAGGATGAAGATGCTAGCCCAGGGGTGGAAGGTGTCTAAGGCTAGGCTGAGGGAGGCCCAGTCTAGCCTAGAGCTCTAAGGTAAGGCTGAAAATGCTCCAGACTAACTCAGGAGGGTCCCAGGCTAGGTCAGAGCTTGGAGACTAGGCGGAAATGGTTCCAGGATAGCCTAGAGCTTCAGGGGTAGGCTGAAAGCACTCCACGCTAGCCCACAGTATCCTATGCCAGCACAGAGGTCCAAGGATAGGCCAAAGAGGTTCCAGGTTGGCCCACCTAAGCCTGTGGGAGTAGAATGTCACTGATGGGGTGGGGTCTGCAGCTGCGGATGGGTAGGAACCTGGACTTTGGAGCCAGAGCCGCCTGGGCTTGCATCTCTGCCCTCCATTCTTCCACCAGGCAGCTCTGGCTGGGTTACCTGCCCTCCTTGAGCCTCAAAATTCTCATAAGACATAGCTGTGAGGGTTCGACTGTGTACCAAGGGCCAGTTAGCCAGAGCTCTGCCTTGGCTAGGCACCCCTCACACCTAGCCCCCTGCCTCCCTCCCACCTGCTGCTGGGCCTGGCCAGGGAGCAGCACTGGTGCAGTGCCTGGGACCTGCAAGAGGGAGCCAAGAGCCATGCCCACAGGAAGGCCCAACAGACAGGCAGGTGGCCCTACTCTGCCAGCCCAGCTGCCACCAGAATCACAAGACTGGCCAAGCAAGCTGCCCACCTACTGCACACTGACCCAGTGAGGCTCTGTATACACCATACCTCACATCCTCAATTTATAGGTGAGGAAACATGCTCAGAGAGGGCCAGTGACTTGCCCCAGGTCACAGAGCAGGTAAATGTCAGAGCTAAGATTTGTACCCAGGGCCTGGCAGAACTCTTTTCCTTGTAAATCATCCTTCTCAGACAAAAGGGTGGCATAATAATGATGATGATGATGGTGGTGGTAAACACACTTCACATGTGCTTACACAATCCTCACAAGCCTACAAGACAGGTACTATCATTATTATCGTACAGGTGGGAAATTGAGACCCAGCAAGGTTAAGTATCTTGCCCAAGGTCACACAGCTCATATGTGGCTGAGCTGGGATTTGAACCCAGACCTTCTAAGTTCAGAGCCAATGCTCTTAACCACTTTGCTATACACCTATGACATGAGATGTCAATATCCTTTCCCAAGTCCTCCACATCCTGATCTTGCCACCCTCTGAGTTCTAGAAGTCCTTTGTCCAGTCTGACCTGAATCCCACCCTCTGCAGTGAAGACCTGCCCTTCCCTCTGAGCCCAGTGGAGGCAGAGTGGAGGCAGAGAGCAGCCCCAGGCCAGCCTCCATACCTGAGCTTCCAAGCACGGAGACCTCACTGCTGGCCTGACCTTATAAGATCCTGCCTTGGGCCCCACTGCCAGTGTCACTGTCCCTCATACCCTGGACCCTGCCCGGTCCTACTCACTTGAGGAGGTACTTGTTGAGGCGTGAGGAGGGTGCGAAGCTGCTGAGGCAGGTGGCCAGCAGCAGCCAGCCCCGCTCGGCATTGTGGGTGTTGGGGTTGCGCCACACCTGGTTGGTCAGCTGTGCCAGGATCTCATCACGCAGCTCAGGTACCGCCAGCCCCTTCTGCACAATGTAGTTCCCAAAGACCTGCTCCTGGGCTCCGTGCAGGTGGGTGTCTCCCATGAAACGTAGCACCTGGCACACAAACAGACTCTTCTGGGCCTCTCAGAAAGGTGAGGTTCAGCCAGGTTCCCCTAACCAACATGAGTTCCTCTCATGTCCCTCACATGTGCCCCCACATTCACATAAAAGTCCTCCATATTACAATGTAATTGCCATATTCCATGCCAAATGACCAGCCAGTTCACCCCAACTATGGGAGAAAGTCAAGATTCAAAGTATATATTGAATTTCTCTACTGCTCATGAACTTTCTATAGCTCCTCTGTAGCCCCAGCTCCCTCCCTGCACCCCTGACCTCCAGCCAGCCCTTCACCTCCTGTTCCATCCACGCCCTAGAGGGTTCTGTCTAACATTTAGACCTGACCACATCCCTCCCATGCTAAGCATCTTCCTTGGCTTCCTAGTGACCTTGGGATGAAATCCAATCTCTGGGTCTGTCAATCAAGGCCTTGCTGACCCCTCTCACCGTTGCCCACCTGACTCTCTGTTCTGACCACATCAGTTTCCTATTCTCTCTGTGCCTTCTCCACTCTCCCTGCCTGGCAAATTCTGACTCCTCCTTCCACTTCAACTCAAATGTCTCCTCCGGGAAGCCCTCCCTGTTCCTGCTTAGGACTGGTTAGGGGCCTTGTCTGGACTCCCCGGCCTCTGTGCTTAACCTCAGTCTACAGTAGTCTGCTCTGCCTTCCCCATCAAACTGGAAGAGGACTAGGTCCTATTTTCAGCGTTCCTAGGAGGCGTCAGAGAGGCTCCAAGGTGGCCTTTTTGCCAGGAAGATGGCTGGGAGAAGAAAGGCTACTAACCCCTAGACCCCAGCCCAGAGAGGAGGCCAGATCCACCCAATGACATAAAAGTCTCTCCTCCAGAGAGGAGGCCAGGTCTCACGGGTTAGGGTAAGGAAGGGCCCAAGAGGTCAGGCCTGGGGGCCTCATGGCATGGCCTCCAGGGTAGGGCTCTGAACTTGAATGTGGCCTGGGATGGACACCATACCAGCTTGAAGATGCACACGGCTTCCCTGTGGTGCTCAGCTGGCAGCCATGTGAGAGGGGTCCTCAGGGGCACTGTCAGCATCCCAAAGGTAGGTTCCTGGGGGCACAGGGCAGGTACATCTGGATCCATGGCTCTGGGCCAGGTGGGCACACAAGAGCCTGTGAGGCAGACGCTTTTGTCCCCAATGTATGGATGGGGAAACTGAGGCTCAGGGAGAGGTAGACACCGGCCTCAGTGAGTTGGTGGTAGAGACAGGATGAGTCCTGTCTGGGCCCCTCCTGGAGGGCAGGAAGTTAGACAGGGTAACGCTGATGTGCTGTGGCTCTACCAGCTACCCAAGCCCCCTGAGGGTCCTCCACTGCAATCTGGACCCCCAGGAACCTCCCAGGTTCCCCATGATCTAGCAACTGAACAGACCATACTTGGCAACACAGGGCACGGCCATGACCCTGTCCCAGGGTGAGGACCACATCAACTCAGATTGGTCAATGCCCACTGGCCAGGCCCCTTGTGCCTATGTCAGCCCTTACCTTGAAGTTACACCGAACAAACTTGGCCATTGGGTAGTTGTTGATATCCAGGGGCAATGTGACACAGGGCTCGGACTGGAGCCGGGGAGTCCGTATGAGGGCCACCTGGGGCACATGGGCCAGCCTGAGGTCTGCAGAGGGCATGAATGCCTGACAGCCATGCCTGCCTACACCTACCCCACCCATGCCGTCCCCACCTCAATCCAGTGCAGACATACCTGCTGCCACTCGCATGAGCCCAGCCAGCTCAGCAGGTACCTCCAGGTGTCCCACAGCCACCACTTCCCGTTTGCTCAGCTCCTGGAGGGACAGCACATATAAGGGGACCAGCTTAACACACCCCCACCTGCCTGCCTCCCCCTGTCCCTTGCTACCACCCAGACCCTGCACCCACCTCCTGCTCCCGCAGCTGAGCCTCCTCCACCTGGTGCCTCTGCTCTGCCCTCAGCTGCAGAAGGGCAGATAGTCAAGGCAGGCATGGCAGGAGGGGCGATGGCAGCCCCTATACCAGGGAAGGCCAGGGCCAGCACGCATAGGTGGCCCGCGTGAGGAGGAAGGGGCAAGCATGCCTGCTAAAGCCCTGCCTATAAGGCTGTAGACAGTGCGCCCATTTGACAGGTGGGCAGGGGGAGGCAGAGGTGTGGCCAGAGACATAGGGTTGGGGGAAAGATATTGCCAAGAGAGAGACAAGGCAAAGGAAGGAAGGAGGGAAACTTTGGGGGAAGAGAGACACACAAGGAGGATTTCTAGAGGTGGCTGAGCAACACTGACAGAACCTTCAGTGACAGCTATGCAGTTCCTCAGAGCTTTGGAGATGAGATGTGTCTTCCTTGTGGTGGCCAGCTTACATGACAACAGGCCAGGACTGCCTTCACACCCCACGAGGTTTCAGGCCACCTCTTTCTAATCCTTCCTAATTACTGAAGACCCCACTGTGAACCTGGCCCAGCCAAAGCCTTCACATGCAACATCTCATTTAACCCTCTCCACAACCCCAAGGGGTAGATGGGGAAACTCAGGCTAGAGTGGTAGCACGAGGGCTGAAACCCAAGACTGTCTGGGTGCTAAGTGCTGCCCCTCCCTCCTGCTCCCTGGCCAGGCAGGGCAGAGCCTGGCTCCTGGAAGAGGGCAAGATGGGAGGCTTGTACCTTGAGGTAGCGCCGGTAGCTTACGTATGAGTGCACCAGGGACCGGAACTTCAACAGGCTCTTCCTCATCTGCTGATACCGCTGCCTGTGGATGGCAAAAGGTGTCGTGGGGCGGTGGGGGGAGGACTGGGGCCAAAGAGGGCAGAGATGCCTACCCTGGCCTAGGAGCCAATGCTACACTTCACTCTGGGGCCCTCTGGCACAAGGATTTGAAACTGGAGTTCAAAGAGGAGTTGACTTAGCCAAGGTCACACAGCAAGTTAAGTGTTAGGGTCAAATTAACCTGTCTGAACTGTGTATATCTATCAGGGTCCTGAGAAGTAGGTTGGGGCCCCTGAGCTGTACTAACTCCCCCACCCACCAGTCAACAAGGGCATCCAAAGGTAAAGGCACAGTGAATCTGATCGTCCTTTTTGCAGAAGTCTCTACCCCCTGCTTGCATGCCTCCAGGGACAGGGAGCTCACTACCTAATTTCAGGCTAAGCTGAACTCAGTACCTAAGTTCTATGCCTGGCTACAGGGCCCCAGGGAGTCCCACCATCTCTGGGCCCCACCTGGCCAGGTAGCCGCGGGCCCGGCTCTGCAGCAGGATGATCTTGTGGCGCAATGAGCGGAATTGCCGCTGGATAAGGAAGCCACGGAGGCAGCGCTGCAGTGTGACAGCTGCCACGTGCAGGACCCGCTCCCGCATGCTCTCCAGCAGCTGGTACAGATGTTCCTTAAAGAACAGCTGGGGACAGGAGGTGGGCACTGAGGGAGGTAAGGGCCAGGTGGCTGGATCAGGGGTGGGGGGTGGGGGGCCTCCTTCCCGTTAAGTGCATAGAGATAGAACAAATAGGGCAGTCTCCAGGAGCAGGCTGCAGGATAGGCTGGATTTGGACAGGTGAAAGAACGGGTGGTGCTGAACCAGGCAGTAGGAGCTGCCTGCACAAAGGTCTGGAGATGGGGGTCCGCATGCCATCTACCAGGCTCATGTGGACTGCCTCTAGGATGGGAGGCTTTAGCTTGGGTATCTCTGGGGTCAAGCTGGGGCGGGACTCACCTTGCTGACTCCAACGCGGTACATGTTTGGCACGACAGTGCACAGGCGGCTCAGTAGCGACACACACATGTCCCCAGTGGCTGGCAGGTTGTGCCTGAGGGCCACTAGACAGCGGTATCTGCAGGGACCAAATCAGCTGGGGGATACGAGACCATGGAACCTACCCTATCTGCCTGGAAGACCACAGGGTCACCGCCCCCAGCCCCGTCTCTGGGAGGCCTGGCCCTGGGGTAGCCCCACTGATAGTGCCTTCTAATCAGAAAAAGACACTGTCCTCAAGACTCTTCTGGGTATAGAGAATTGTCATAATACATGTTTCAGTAGAACGGGACACTTTACTGCCATCTGCTGGCAACGTGACATCCTAACTATCAAAACCATCCTTTGAAGTCAACAAAAATACAATTAAAATATGAAAAAATACAAAACAGTAACGGTATTGACCATGTGACAGCTTAGCATGTGTTGGTCTCATGCAGCGCACAGTCTGAGCAACTGCGTGTGGCAATCCCTGTTCTGCCTGGGTTGTGGTCCTGGAGTATAGGGGCTGGGAAGGAGTCTGTGGAGCCTAGGAACCCCTCACTGAGGTACCTGTCGATGAACACCTGGAAGGGCAACCGCACAGGGAAGCCCTCCTTTCTGATGCGCACAGTCTCCAGCACCCCTGAGTAGCGCAGCTGTGTCATTACGACCTCTGGCTCAAAAAGACCCGGCTCCTGTGGGGATGCATGACCAGGGGGAATAACCACCATGGTGGGCTGGACAGGAGGTCCAGAGAGGCAATGCCCCTTGTCCAGGGTCACCCAGCATGGGGAGGGGGCTCTGGTTCTCCGAGAGACCTCAGCCATTGCTCACCTTCTTGTGGTTGGGTTTCAGGCAGCGCACAAACAACGGGCTACACCTGCGCAGGGGCAGGAGGTGGGCAGTGTGAGACCCGAGAAGGAAGGATCCCCCCTGATGAGGATTGTGCACTGAGTTAGAGGGGAGATGCACTGCCCACTGGCACACCCACCTCTCCATCTTCTCTACCATATCCAGGAGTGACTGCTGGAATTTGGCAGCCACCGTGTGTGCTTTGTAGAGCCGGGTGACAGAGCTGCTTTTGCCCAGGCGCTGAGGGGAAGCCTGCGGGGCATAGCTGGTGAAGAGGTGTGCCACTACCTGGGTGGGGGTGGGGGTCAAGGCACCAAGAGATGGAGGAACAGGCGCAGGGTGCGAACCCAGAAGACAGAGACAGAAGCAAAGGGAGAAATGGAGAGGGAAAGAGAGAAAAGCAGTCAAAAAAGGAACTCCCAGACCAGAGGGATCCAAAAGTTGACCCACTGCACCCCTATCTGTGAGGCCTCTGTCTTCCTGGCTTGCACACCTCTCAAGACAGGATGCTTAGCACCTTTCAAGGGCTCGCCCCATGGCTGAGTTGCAGCAGCTATTCTTCTTCAGTTAGAGAGCACACACTGCGTACTGAGTAAACGCCTGGCCCTGAGGTGGGCCTGTTATGCGCATGGTCATGGACAGATGCACATTTGACAGAGGGACAAGCGGAGGCCCAGACACTGAAGGACCCTCCTCAGGGCACATGCCAGGGAGTGCAGGGGTTGGTATTCCAGTCATGTCTGTGCTCTGTCATAGCATCATCTGCTGGCCTGTGGTGGGGCTGGGAGGTGGAGGGTAGGGCTGCAGCACTGAGGCAGGGCCCACCATGGACAGGGCTAGTCAGGGGGTGGGGCTGGAAAAGGGGGATGCACAGGGGTGAGCCAAAGCTGTCAGGTGTGGGGTTGGGGGGTGGTACAGGATTGGAGTGGACCATGGCTAGGGTACCTTCCCACTTGCCCGTGCTGGGCAGGGGTGGAGCCAGGTTTGGGGAAGCCAAGCTAGGCAGAGCCAGGCCAGGATAGCACCCAGGCAGTAGGATCTAGGGGAGGGACCTGACTGTGGGCTGGGGGACTCACCCGTGTCCGACTCCTTACAAACAGGTCCAGCACCTCCTGACGCACTTGGTCGTGGTTCTTATCCAGGAACTTGTGCACCTAAAAAAGGGAGAACCGCAGGGAGCTCAGGCCATAATCCTCCAGCTCAAGCAGCCTGAGGGGGCATGGTAGAGGTACACCTCCACTCCAGTCTGTATCAACGGCTTCCTCCCTCCCTCCCTTCCTCTGGTGGGTTGGAGGTTCATGGGGTGGGGGGAGGCCTCCTTCAGGCCTCTGTCTCCCTGTCTGTCCCAGGAGGGGACAGACCATCCTCCCTACTTCTGGTGTGCATTAGCCAGGGCTTCACATGACTAGTCTGTGTTGGCCTCCATCCTCGGTGAAGGACACTGCCCTGTGCCCATTCTACAGATGAAGAAAATGAGGCCCAGATGGGGACAGAGGCCTAGAATCCTGGCCCCAGATACCTCCAGGGCAGGAATGTACCTCAGATAATAGGGATGAGGGTGGCTTCAGTGATACTACTACTGAGAATAAAGAAAACAAACCCATTGCCGTCAAGTCAATTCCAACTCATAGCAACCTTATAGAATAAGTACTCTTTATCAAATCCACCACAGGCTTCTATTAAAAGGGCACTATTATTCCCATTTTCCAGATGAGGAAATGGAGGCTCAGACTGGTTAAGTGATTTGCCCAAAGTCACACCGCTAGGGAGTGGCAGGGCTCTTACTGGAATCCAAGTCTTAGTATCTAGAGCCCTTGTCATACTTCTATGTCCCCAACAGATGGGGCAATGAGGTGCTGGGAGGCCAAGCCAGCTGTCTCTGGGGTCTCACCTGGTAGGTAACTTTGCCTGCGTAGTGCTTGATGGTGAACTCAGGCAGTGGCATCTTGGGTTTGGAATAGAGTGGGTTGGTGCCATGGTGGTAGTTGCACTTCTGCAGGAATGTGTGATCTGTGGCCTAGGGTAGGCAGGGGTCAGTGGGTAGGCAGGAGGCCTGGGCACTCAGGGGAAATGCCTTGTTCCTGGCTGGTGGCAAGTTCCCCAAAAGGTATCGGGGAGGAGCAACTCACAGCTTCCTGAGGCTGCCCATTGTGCTGAGGGTAGGAGCAAGTGAGCCTCAGGCCTAAGTGGATCCCTGCAGATAGGCACTGATGACTCAGCTCCCAACAGCCTCCCCCCCCAGTTCAGCTGCCATTGCCCTCTCTAGTCCCACTGCCCAGAGCATCCATCCCACCGTTGTGTACTTTATGCTTTCCAATCAGGATCTGAAGCCCGACCCCAAGGTCACCTTCTCCAGAAAGCCTTCTTTGACTTCCCAGGTTGGTGCAGCCCCTCCTCTGGACCCCCAGAGCTCCCTACCCAGCCTCAGTTCCCCCAGGCTGTGAATGGCAGGTTGGGTGTCCGGGGCACCCGCCCCCAGGCCAAAGCAGAGAGGAATGAAGGACTCAGTGGCTAATTAGGCCATGGAGGCTCAGTGATGTCAGTGATCTGACGAGGCTCACCTGAGGAAAACAACACTGGTCATCAAGGATGCGCAGGATGCCATACGGCTTCAGCGAGATGAGGTTGATGCAGGGCTGGTTGTCAACAAAGGTGATCTCCTGCCAGTCAATCTGCTCACGGACATACTCCTCCTGCAGGCAGCAGGCAGCAGGGGCTCAGCCACCTTGCCCTGCCCAGCACCCCCTCACCTAGCTAGATACTCAGGGGCTGAATCCATCTGGAGGGGCCTGGCCAGGCCACCTATGCTTGCATGCCTCCTAGAATAGGGAGCTCACTCCCTAGCAGGAAAACATGAATCGTCTCAGGGCCCTGCTGCTCCCTCCACCCGGGACAGACCTGCAGAAGGTGAGAAGGACCCCCAAGGTGGCTATCCTCTGGGCCTAGCACCCAACACCCATCTAGGACACAGCCTTCACATGGGCTGGTCCCACAGCCTAAAATGCCTCCCCCGTTTGTCTGCTGACAGCCTCCGGTTAGCCTGAGAGAACCAGTACATCCTGGTCTGCCTCCAGGGAGGTCTCTGGGCTGTGACCTGGCCAGTCAGGATGGGGATACGAGTGTTAATGGGGGCTGCACACCTGCTCCTCCTGGAAGACAATCTTGTTGAAAAGGTACTGAAGGTTCTCGTTTGCATAGTTGATGCACAGCTGCTCGAAGCTGTTGAAGCTCAGGTCCTGCCAGGTGGGAAGTGAGAGTCCCGGGCTCTGTCCACTTCCACCAGCCCAAGCCCAGAGCCTCCCTGCCTGACCACAGGCCCACTGCTCAGAACCCTCCACAGCTCCCTTGCACACTGGGTAGCACTGGACATCCAAGCTCCTGACAAGAGGCAGCACAGACAGTGGTTAAAGACATAGCCCCGAAGCCTTCTGCCCAGTTTCAAGTCCTGGCTCTCTCATTTTCTAGCTGTGTGACCTTGGGCACCTCTCTGTGCCTCACTTTTCCCGTCTGTAAAATGGGGATAATGATAGCACGCATCTCATACAGTTACTGTAAGGATTATGTGAATTAATAAGCGTAAAGTGCATAGAACAGTACTTGTCACATAGCAGTTGCCACGCAAGTGTTAGCTCTCACTTTTATAATCACCTCGCCTTGTGTCCTGCCAGTCTCCATGTGCACTCAACCCAGCAGTCACTGCTGATTTCCAACTCCCAGACACCTGCCCAGCACACCTCCAGGCCTTGGCCTGTTCCCTCCACCAAGAATGCTGTCACTGGTTCTTCAGGCATTAGCGCAGGGGTGTCTCCTTCTCTTTCAGGAAGGCTTCCTGACCCCTCCCCTAGGGCTCCCCCAGTGCTAGGCTGCCTGTGTCACAGCTGTTCCCCACCCTCCCAAGGGCTGGGTGTGTGGGTGAGGGAGAGACCCAGGAAGGGATGAAGATGTGTGGTGTAGATGCAGAGAAGTAGGATTGGGAAGAGGCAGCCAGCAACGCTGAGGGTGATGTGGCCTCAACTAGTACACCCCCAGCCCCACCCCTTCCCCTGCATGGCCCCTACCTCAAAGCCATAGATGTCCAGGATGGCGATGGACATTGTGTCCTGCCGTGGGGACACCAGTGTGTTCACCCTGGCGATGAGCCACCCAAACAGCAGTGAATACAAGACCTTGGCGATGGCATCCCTGGAGCAGAGAGGGTGCTTTGTGGGCAGGGCACAGTGGGGGGTGAGGGCCTGGGGGTCCGGCAGGGCAAGGGTGGCCTCACCTGGCATCCACAGCACTCTCCACGGTCAGAGGCGTGAAGATCTTCTCTCGCATTGTCTCCTGGGGAAGGAAACAGTCCCTGAGCTGAGGGCAGACCAGCCACAGCCTTCAGAAAGCCCCCAGAGGGTGGAGGGGGCACAGGTAAGGCAGGTCAGAGGCAGCACAGATGGGGATTCCCTCCTCCCCCTTCTGCCCAGCTGCACTGGTGGGGGTGGCGGTTGCTGGTTGAGGGGAACAGACGCATAAACAGACATGGCAGCACAATGAGGTCAGCCCTGAGAAGGGAGGAGGGCCCAGGGCTTGTGGGATTCAGGCAGAAGCCAGAGGAGGCTCCCTGGAGGAGGGGATGACTGAGCTGGGTCTAGACAGGTGAGCAGCTGTGAGGGGGAAGAGCATTCCAGGCAGAGGGAACAGCTAATGCAAACGCTGGGAGATATGAGAACTTTTGGGGTCTGAGGTCACCCCCTCAGGGCCTCCTCAATGGCCTGCAAGAGGGGCCGACCCAGACAAAGGGAAAGGGACAAAAAAGTGGGCGGGTGGAAGAGGGGGCCCACAGAAAGCTCTCTTAGCAGCTCAGGTACCCACACACTCACTGTCACTTTGAAGGTGATGGCCTTCTGCAGGCCTTCGGGGGAGATCTGTAGCAGCTCTGCCACAGCCTGGATCTCCCGCTCGCTCACCACCGAGGCCACCTCCTGTGCATCCGTCTATGGAAAACACAGCAGAAATGTGTGTGTGTGTGTTTAAAATTGAGGTAAAAGTCACATAACATACAATTCACCATTTTAAAGTATACAATTCAGTGGCATTTAGTGCTTTTACAATGTTGTCCAAGCATTACCTCTATCTAGTTTCAAAATTTTTTCATCACACCTGAGAAACACCCTGTACCCATTAAGTAATTGTTCCCTATTCCCTTCCTCCCCCATTCCCTGGTACCACTGCTGGTGGGACAGGCACGAGGTAGACGTTTCCATTACAAATGGGAGAAACTGGAGGGTAAGAAGGGATAATAGGCACCAAGCCAGTCAGGAAAACACATTACATTAGCTCTCAAGGCTTGAAAATAATCCTCTGTTCTCTGAGACCATTTAGGCAATGACCCTGCCCTCCAGACACTGGGTGTCAGTCACACTCTCCGGATTCTGAGTGGAGGCCCCTCAGCCCTGGGCTTCAGCTCTGCCTTCCAGACCCAATGGATCAGCAACTCTGCTCCCTCAGCTTTGAGAGTCCCCATTCTCCCAGTTCATCAGAGTGTCAACCCTACCTCCTTGGCCGCAGCAAGCCTGTTCTTCCGCCCCTTGAGTATGGCAGCCCCACCCCCTCAGCTTTGAACAGTGGATCTGGCCCCATCTCGCTGGCACTTGTGAACGGCAGCCCCACGCTCCAGAACTGAGCTGGTGAAGATCTGACTTTGAAACCTAGAAGGCTGTGGCCCCACCCTTTGAAACCCCAGAGGCCATGGCTCCACCCTCTGAGACCCCAGAGGTTGTGGTCCTACCCTTTGAGACTGAGGCAGCTCTGCTTCCTGTGTTCCTTGTCTCTTCAGCTTCTGCTTCCTGGTTTCTTGGCCTCTCGGCCCCTCAGACCCTTGGGCCAGCCTGGCATCTGCCCTGCTTGGGCAAGTGTTCCAAAGCTCTTTAGCTCTACTGTAAGTGCCTGGAGGTACCCCACTCTGCCAGGAAGCCTCCTGCCCAAAGGCACTCAGCTCTCTTGCTCCGTGGGTCAGCTCCCGCGCTGTCTCCCGCTGTCCTCCTGGTTCTGCTGCTGTTGTTTCTCTGTTGCTGCTTCTTGCCATCTACAGTGTTTCTGGTGTTACAGTTCTCCTCACTTTCTTCTGAGTTCTCACCAAACTTGTCCTTGATATCCGTAATTTCACCAACAGTCTCTTCAAGGCATCTAGGCTTTTACTATTATGCAGTTTAAGACTCTTACAGGCACTACTCATTACTCAATACCAAAATCGCTTCCACATTGTAGGTATCTGTTACAGCAGCACCCTACTCTCAGTACCAAATTCTGTCTTAATCATCTAGTGTTGCTATAACAGAAATACCACAAGTGGATGGCTTTAGCAAAGAAAAATTTATTCTCTCACAGTCTAGGAGGCTAGAAGTCCAAATTCAGGGAGCCAGCACCAGGAGAAGGCTTTCTCTCTCTGTCGGCTCTGGGGAAAGGTCCTTGACATCAATTTTCCCCTGGTCTAGGAGCTTCTCAGAGAAGGGACCCCGGGTCCAAAGGATGTGCTCCCCTCCTGGTTTTTCATTCTTGGTAGTATGCTGTCTGCTGGATTCTCTCTTTCATATCTCAATAGAGGTTGACTCAAGCTACAAACTAATCCTGTAGACTGACACCTGCCTCATTAACATAACTGCCTCTAATCCTGCCTTATTAACATCATGTTGCTGTTGTTAGGTGCCGTCAAGTCAGTTCCAGCTCATAGTGACCCTACATATGGCAGAACAAAACACTGCCCGGTCCTGCACCATGCTCACAATCATTGTTATGCTTGAGTGCATTGTTGCAGCCACTGTGTCAATCCATCTCGTTGAGGGTCTTCCTCTTTTTCACTGACCCTCTGCTTTACCAAGCATGATGTCCTTCTCCAGGGACTGATTCCTCCTGATAACATGTCCAAAGTATGTGAAATGTAATTTCGCCATCCTTGCTTCTAAGAAGCATTCTGGCTGTACTTCTTCCAAGACAGATTTATTGGTACTTTTGGCAGACAATGATATATTCAACATTCTTCACCAACACCATAATTCAAAGGCGTCAGTTCTTCTTCGGTCTTCCTTATTCATTGTCCAGCTTTCACATCCATGTAAGGCAACTGAAAACACCATGGCTTTGGGTCAGGCACACCTTAGTCTTCAAGGAGACATCTTTGCTTTTTAACACTTTAAAGAGGTCATTTGCAGCAGATTTGCCCAATGCAATGCGTCTTTTGATTTCTTGAGTGCTGCTTCCATGGGTATAGATTGTGGATCCAAGTAAAATGAAATCCCTGACAACTTCAATCTTTTCTCTGTTTCTCATGATGTTGCTTATTGATCCAGCTGTGAGGATTTTTGTTTTCTTTATGTTGAGGTATAATCCATACTGAAGGCTGTAGTCTTTTATCTTCATCAGTAAGTGCTTCAAGTCCTCTTCACTTTTAGCAAGCAAGATTGTGTCATCTGCATATCACAGGTTGTTAGTGAGTCTTCCTCCAATTCTGATGCCACATTCTTCTTCATATAGTCCAGCTTCTCCAATTATTTGCCCAGCATACAGACTGAATAGGTATGGTGAAGGGATACAACCCCGACGCACACCTTTCTTGACTTTAAACCACACAGTATCCCCTTGTTCTGTTCAAACAACTGCCTCTTGATCTATGTACAGGTTCCTCATGAGCACAATGAAATGTTCTGGAATTCCCATTCTTTGCAAGGTTATCCATAATTTGTTATGATCCACACAGTCAGTGAAACACAGGTAAACATCTTTCCGGTATTCTCTGTTTTCAGCCAGGATCCATCTGACATCAGCAGTGGTATCCCTGGTTCCCCGTTCTCTTCCGAATCCAGCTTGAATTTCTTACAATTGCCTGTCGATGTACTGCGGCAACCGCTTTTGAATGATCTTCAGCAAAATTTTACTTGCGTGTGATATTAATAATATTATTTGATAATTTCTGCATTCGGCTGGATCACCTTTCTTTAGAATAGGCATAAATATGGATCTCTTCCAGTTGGTTGGCCAGGTAGCTGTCTTCCAAATTTCTTGGCATAGATGAGTGAGCACTTCCAGCGCTGCATCTGTTTGTTGAAACATCTCAGTTGATATTCCGTCAATTCCTGGAGCCTTGTTTTTCACCATTGCGTTCAGTGTTTTCCTTCAGTACCGTTGCTTCTTGATCATATGCTACCTCTTATAATGGTTGAACATTGACCAATTCTTTTTGGTATAGTGACCCTGTGTATTCCTTCCATCTTCTGATGCTTCCTGCGTTGTTCAATATTTTCTCCGTAGAATCCTTCAATATTGCAACTCAAGGCTTGAATTTTTTCTTCAGTTCTTTCGGCTTGAGAAATGCTGAGTGTGTTCTTCCCTTTTGGTTTTCTAACTCCAGGTCTTTGCACATGTCATTATATTACTTTACTTTGTCTTCTTGAGCCACCCTTTGAAATCTTTTCAGCTCTTTTACTTCATCATTTCTTCTGTTTGTTTTAGCTACTCAACATTCAAGAGGAAGTTTCAGAGTCTCTTCTGACATCCATTTTGGTCTTTTCTTTCTTTCCTGTCTTTTTAATGACCTCTTGCTTTCTTCATGTATGATATCCT